AATAATCCTTTTTGTTCCTTATCTATTTCTATCTTGGAATCCTTTATAATAAATATGGAAAAATTTTGTATTCGTTTTTATTTATAATTTGCTATTAACTATGTAAAATATTAACTTTTTTTTACAGCTTGTTTTCTATCGTTTTTCATCTAAAGATAAACATAAGAAAGAGAATTTTCTCTCTCTTTTATTTTTATTTCTTTTTTCTTCCTTTTTTTGTTATTTTTTTGCCGGCTTAAAAATATACAAGCTGCGCCAGTGATTTCGTCCGCATAGAAAAGTTATTCTGGATATCAAAATTTGTTTTTGCGAACCTCATATTTATGAATTATGGCTGTGTGTTACCCACAACGTCGAACGCGTCCCGTTGTTCTAGCGAGTTAATCCTTAAAGATATACATATACGGTCGCCAACATTTTTTAAGATCATTTAAAAAGAACAAACGATCCAACTCTTGCACTTCATGTAATAATGTTGTTGCTCTCTCTTTGGATAATATTGTATTCAATATTTGAGTGACCTTATAACGCGGCAGTAAAACCAACATCCTCAAGATTCTAACGGTGTAGTCACAGGAGTCGCGATGTGCTCGTAAAATTCTGAAAGCGCGTCAACGTCCACATCGCGATTCGAATTATTTTGGCACGACAACAATATCGTTAATATCGATTCTATTTTTGCTCTACGCTTCACGTGTATCACCGCAATGCATCTTTACCACCTCGGAGAAACACCCCTTCCAGTGGAACGCTTGCCTATCTATCATTTATTTAGTTTCCCATATGTGTAAGGAACAAAAACTATCGAATCGTGAAAGGAGCAATTAAGGTTTTATTTAATTTGCTCACTCATCCGATTTTATCAATTTAACTTTGTTAAGATATTGATCCTCAAGTGAAAATGCTATTAAACTATTATTCAATCTGTAAACTTAAAAAAGTCTCCTTAAATTAGAACTATCAAAATAAAGCTAATTATTATCAGCTGTGATTCTGTTTGTAGGTTACGCAAGTAGTAAACATTAAAATTGTAAGGGTTTAAATGCGATTTATATTAGTTAAACTTATTTGGAGATTATTTTAACTACGGCTCGACGTTTCGGATGCGTGCCATGGGAACGTGGGCCATAGTTAAAGTAAATTGTAAACAAGTTGACCTAACGCTTTAAAACAAGTAAACTTGTTTTATTTAAAAATGCTCGTATAGCGGTTTCCGGTATATTTTCAGAGGGTTGTCAAAAATGAAATATAGCAAGCAAATAAGAGACAGTTATTATAATAAGTATAAGGAGTACTAATTTAGATCAAATTGCGTAGCGAAATTGGCTCGCATGCACGAAATAAATCCAATACCAAAATAAGCAAATTTTTATATCTTATTTATGTTGTTACGTGGATAGGGATCGTTCTCTGTCATAATAAAAAATGTCAGGAAACGTAACGTACATGTGTGACGTAAAAATTAGTTTTCTGCGAAGAAGCTATTTATTATTGCTAGTTGGCAGTTCACCTGAATTCTTGTTCGTCAATTTGCTATTAAAACGTACCTACTCGTTGCTTTTTCGTTTCAGTATACGAGTCCCATCTCAATTTTCGTTTAATGAATCCTTTTAGAAAAAAATATTGTTTTTTACACGTTCCTGTATAGTTGAAGCGTGGCATTGTATAAATTTAAAAAAAGACACGGGCGGTACTTTACCGGTATCCACAGGGATGTGTACTGCCGCCTTAGTCTCGAACTGAAATATTGCGTCTTCTTATTCGTGAAAATTATTATTTCTACTTCCAAATACGGGCTGGTGCCAAAAATGTAAATAAGAATCTTTCGATCGATGCAACATTTCGGGAGACTCGTGATTTCGAAATGGACGTGGTCAGGAGTCGAGCACACGGACCATTTAAAAGCGATGTAATTTGTTTTCCCATAACAGAGACTTGTCTTAAAGGTTTGTAAGTACCTAACGCGCGATAAGGTTCGCATTTGTTTTCGCGGAATTCGTTTCCATCCATTGCATTGTATCGTAAGAAGAGTCATTGTTGTCACAGCTATCTGTACTCTGCATGCCGTTTGGCTTTTTGTTTGATTGTGTAACTGTTTGCACACAATGGGGCGTTTCCATTTTCTTTGCGTGTGTACTGTGCCACTGTTGTTTGTAAATAAGCGAATATTTAAGAGCTCGCTGTGTCGTTGACGTCTTATCCGTTTGTGTAAAAAGGGTAAATGATTCCGATACCGACATAGGACATTGACTACGAGTAAAAGCTGATAAAAAGCAGTTTTCCAAGCTACTTTCTTTTTAAACAATGTCTCTAATTTACGCGAGTAGTACACATTTAAATAAAACACTTTAACGGTTTAAAACGCGATATGTAATAGTTAAACTTATTTGAAAATTACTTTAACTACGGCCCAACGTTTCGAATGCTTTGCAGCAGCCGTGGTCATAGGAAGACTAAAGATGGAGGGTGTCTTACGTCAAATGAAAAACGAAACGTCGGGCCGTAGTTAAAATAATTTTCAAATAAGTTTAACTATTACATATCGCGTTTTAAGCAGTTTCTTGTCGTTGTTGTTGTACATTTCATTTCGCAAGTAAATAAGCAGAGATCGAATTAAATAAAACGAATTCTTCCGCAACGAGATAAGAAAAAGCTATGTTTACAGCCTAAATTCTCTCATATGAAGTGCATCTGCGAATCAGTCAGATTCGTGGTATTACATAAGTAGTTGTTAATTACGTCCTCGTTCACACGGCGTTGCGTGATTGACTACTTAGACGCGGCGCGTCACGAAACATGCGAATTCGTGAATAATAGCTGGCGTCGGATATTGACGGGTTCATTGGTCCAATCAACGGGCAGAGGGTTCGATTTTTAAGAATCATTGACACTGACACAAAGTTTCAATATCGAATTTCTTTCCGGGTCACGAACCAAAGACAAAAAACGATCGACCGATTAACTGTTTAATATTATATTGCTGGAGCTCATTAAGTGAACGCTTGTTTCTCCTCTGTAAAAATATATGTCTTAAATATAGGTATATATTGATACTCTATACAATGACGTGACAATTCCCAAGGTAGAAGGAGTAATGAAATAAGCAAGTACATAGTTGCTTCTGTTTAGTGGGCATGTAATCAAAACTCTCAGTAAACATGAATTGTAATTTAAACAACGTTTTACTCTTCCAAAGTTATCGGGAAAGTTCAATGACAATACATAGACCAAGATCCCGTAGCAAAAATTAAAACAATGATAATTAGAACACTCGTTAGTCTAGTAGTTCAATTATCATGTTTAGGCTAGAGAAGCAATTTTAATTAAACTGGATTTAGGTTCACACACATATTTTGTATTCGTGTGTTTATCTAAACATTTGTCTGTCTGTTCTATCTGTTGTATTATTTGTACATCTATCTAAAACATAATAAATACAGTTTTATTTACTGTTTTAGTGTCCATGCAAATTTCTCCAGTCTAGAAGTTATAGATAGTCTGATGAATGATATGTGGGATCTCGGACTAGAAGGGATGGTCGTGCCGAGAATGGGTGCGGTCTTTAAGTAATGGGCGCGGGGGTTCGCTCAAAATGAAAATTGCCATTTTCATTTAGCAATTGGCTAACATGACTCATTTCTATCTGACACCCGTCTATGTAGTGCATCTTGCTATATTTATTCATTTTGGCATTATTTTACTTTTGTCCGAAATTATTATATGTAAATAAACCTTGTTTAAACTTTTGCAAAATATTGCCTTCGCCCTGTAAATATGCTGAAAGATTTTCTAGTATAGATTGCAATAGTTAATATTTATATAGATTTCAAGGTAAACATGATTATGACTCGTAACTACCGTTATTATGTAGAATAAATAAAATATATAGGTATGTATAATATTAATGGTGCACGTGTAAAGAAATATTATTTATTTGTACGTGTTTTCTTATGCAGCCGAACGAAGGGACTGACAATCAGGTAGTTAGTTGGAGACGTAGTGAATAAGCTCGCTTATCATTAGTACAGCTTCTAGGATTATCCCATGTACTTATAAGAGTAGATTTCGCATGACTTAGAATCTATAGATGTTAGCTTTCCAGTACTAGATTTATTTGACGTATCAACGTTCGTCTCTAAAGGAACACGAGAGCCAAATAATTATACAATGAATCTGTACTAACTAATAAAATGTCATAGTTATCGTAGCGCACAACTGTAAAAATGTTGTTAATTGGTCCTTCGAGCCGAGTTTGAAATTATTTTTAAGAAGCAGCAGTAGTGTAATAGCTGACAGTTTTTTTTTGCAAATCTCTGCAATTGTAGTATGATAGTAAAGCTGCGACGAAGTGTAATGCTCATCAGTAATTTTTATTTGAAAGTCCTAGAAAATGGGTTTTTTTTTGCAGCGCCCATGTTATGAATAGTCGTATAGTTCTAGAATCATTTAAAGCGATATTAGCCTCATGGCAGAATTATTATTTGTATGGCTATATGTGCTTATGTAACCCGTAGAGTCATTAACTACTCAGTGCCCACGTAATGGCCCTACAAGATGTAATTTCTGTAAGCAGTCTGAGAGCGTTTGAAGGGCTTCTCTTGTTTCCATTACGTTTCTTATTGTTTTCTTCGCTTTTATGTCGATGTTGTACTTAGACATGAATTAGACTTTAATTTACATCCATCATGTTGTATGCCGCTCCTTCGCGATACGTCATATGCGGCTCACATTTTTTTTTAAATCAAGTTATCATATTCAGGAAAAAAGACACAAGCATAAGCTAAAATTGCCTCTATGTAATCTAAGAAATTTACTAGCTTAAATATTTACATTATAATTATTTTTCCATGAGTTACTGCATTTAAAAATATACATGCGAAAATTGTTAAGTAATTTGTGAAATTGTAGTGTGTATGCTTACAACAAATCCACCTACCCTACTTGCACACATAGAAGGGTAACATGGGAAATCAAAATCTAAATTTAAATATAATATTCAGATATTCACGGCGAGCGCGACGCACCTGCACGATGCGCGGGCCAGGTCCCAGCCGCCCGACTCGGGCTTCTCGGAGCCGGCCAACAACAACATCAGCGAGGACAACAACAACGGCCCCATTTCGCTCAGGGAGATGCAGAACATCGCCAACAATAACGCGACTGCTTACATCGTCAGCGAGAACGAAGAACGGAATCGAATTAACCGGGAATCCGTGGTCGAGTTCGAGCCGCTGCCTGGAGTACGGGTGCTAGACCCGCTCGAGAGATGCGCGGATTGGTTCGGTGAGATTTTTCAGTTCTTGGCTTCAGTTGACTTAAACCTCGATATTAGCTATATGATTATATTAGCGTGCGTAATTCGTGGCTGCTATAGCACGCATTAACTGTTTTTTTGTTTTACACAGACACGCTTTATTTATTTAGTAACAATATCTATGCGATATTGTTCGTAAAAATCCTATTTGTTCCCAATACTGGGACCCGTAAAATAATTGTTACATTTCTTTACTATACTATATTGTTTTGCCACACACTTTTCATTATTGTAATGAAATATAACCAATTACCATCTATTTCTCAAATTACTGCTGCACCAAAATAAACTTGTTCGTAAATTAGCAATAACTTGGCGACAGTTTAGAATATATAATTCTTTAGTTTGTAAAGCGTTAAACTCTCAAACATTTAACATAAATTCTTGCTGAGTAAGCGAAATTGCAAACTGTATTCAGCGAAGCGCGAAAAATTTTTCTTGCCTTATTGCAACGCGCAAACTTCGTAAACCCGTTCTGAATATACGTCTAGGAGCAAGGGTCCTCTTAATAATTCCTATTGTGAAACTTAGCTATGAGCACGTCTAGCGTTATTCATGCCCTTTGTAATATTCAATTTCCCTTTAGCCGGCGAAGACTTTCCCAGGAGTCAGCTGCAGTATCTACGGGAAATTGGGCGTGGCTGGTTTGGCAGAGTAAGTTGAATTTTAAAGACAAGTATTGTATACGACGACCTTTCATGTACGAATTTATTTATTATTTATTGCCTTATTACTTATAAATTGCTACCATTACACCAACGAGTCCCTTAAACGTTTATATTATAAAACGAATGCTACGCATTTCATTGAGATATTAGTAAAACTAGAATGAGTTTGCATAAAATAACGTAACGTATAACGTATATTATAATAAGCTAAAAAATTACTTCCAGGTGGTGGAGGGTGAAATCGAAGATGGCCCCACATCGGGTACAGTCGCTGTCAAGATCCTAAATCAAAATGCCAGCCTTGAAGACAAAGCGCGGTTCCTGGACGAGGCTCGGATGTACCGGGACATCACCCACGAAAGCGTCCTGCCGTTTATCGCCAAATGCCTCACGGAGGATCCTTGGATCCTGATGTTTGAGTTGTGTTCAATGGTGCGTTCTTAAACTAACTATCAATCTAAACTTCGAGGAGGCTAGTATGTTTTAGATGTGTACAAACATACGTATGTGATTACGAGTTTGAACCCCCCCTCCCCTTTTTTTTCATATTGCAAAGATGGAAAAAAGATGAAGACCTTCAGTGCTGGTGGACGAGCTTCAAACTCTGGCAAAACTAAAATTAATGTTGATAAACGGCCTTATCATGATCTCTCTGATGATAAGGCTTGGGGGGTTATGACATCTCGTATTTAACTCTAACTTTAAAAAATGGTTTGTTACTTAATTCTTGTTACTAACTTAAATTCAGGATCTTCAACAATACCTCGAGGCGAATCGTCCCAAGATGGCAATATTGAACGAGAGTGGAGTGCCGTTGCAGCTGATGTGTGACGTCAGTTCCGGTCTTGCGCATCTTCACGCCAGGGGATATTTGTACGGGTGAGTAATAAGCTCTATGTTTATTTATTTATTTATTTATTTATTTATACAAGGCTCACCAACTACATACATAATTAAACTTACAAAATCTATTTCTAAGAATAGTTAATACTACTTATGTATCTAACTTAAAGGTGTGCACAACTTTAACTAAATATATTAAACAAAGATTAAAAAAAGAGAGTTTTTTACATAACAATTAAAACTACAGATTAGGTAGACATTAAATAAGAATAAAACAACTAATTAAAATTTATGGATGGTAAGATTTCTAAAACTTTTTTCTTGAACATATTTGAGTTGACGAATAAATCTAATTGATCTAATTTAAAAACACAGTTGTACAATTTACACATTGCCTGAATGGGTGAATTTAAACCATAGTTATTTTTACAATGTTTTATGTGCAGAGGACTAAAGGTAATAATTCTACAATTAAAGGATGGGACGCAGATTCCGATATGTTGTAGAAGAGATGGGCAATCAAGGTGGTTATTTAACAATTTGTGGAGGCATGTTAACAGTGCAGCATTTCTACGCACTTCTAATGATTGGATTCTCAGCTCTTTCAATCTATCTTCATAGTTCTTTATGTGGTAGATGTTTTCAATGTAACTGAGCCTCGAGACGAACTTCTTTTGAACAGACTCTACTCTGGTTATATATTTCTTGTAAAACGGATGCCAAACTACTGAATTATATTCGAGGACAGATCTTACTAAACAATTGAACAATAATTTTAAGCATAAAGTTGATTTAAAAGCCTTTGTGTTTCGAAATATAAAACCAAGCATTTTTAAACCTTTTTTTACAATGTTATCTATATGTTTGTCAAATTTTAAATGATTATCTATTAATATACCTAGGTCTTTTACCACTTCGACTTCATTAATTTTATTATTGTCTAGCAAATAAGCAGATTTAAATTTAATGTGTTTACGAGAAATTTTCAAAAGGTTGCATTTATCTACGTTAATGTCCATATTATTATTTTTACACCACATCATAACTCCATTGATATCATCTTGAAGTAGAGATTGATCTCTCAAACAGTTGACCCTTCGATATATTTTTAGATCATCTGCGTAAAGTTCGTATTCAGAATTTTTTATGTGATTACCAATGTCATTAATAAACAGTGTGAATAGAAGAGGACCCAATTGCGAACCCTGAGGCACGCCCGATGATTGGTAGAATACGTTAGACTGATAACCACCTAGTTTAACAATTTGAGGCCGATGAGCTAAATAAGACTGCAACCAAGATAAAATCTGCTCCGGAATAGGATATTTATCTTTCATCTTTTGAATTAATTTAAAATGATCAACCCTATCAAAAGCTTTACTGAAATCCGTGTAAATAACATCAATTTCATTACCGCTACAGAGATCAAATGACGTCGTGTTGACAAAGTTAAGCAGGTTTGACAGAGTGGATCGTTTTTTGACAAAACCATGTTGGTGGTCAGTGATGAGGTATTTAGTTTGCCATAAGATTAAGGGGTAAATTAACGACTCGAAAATTTTCGCTGGGGTAGACAAAATGGTGATAGGTCTATAGTTTTTTATATTAGTTTTGCTGCCCTGTTTAAATATAGGAACAACTACACCGCGCTTCCATTCATTTGGAAAAGTTTCAGAGTCAAGAGAAGCATTGTATATTATAGTTAATGGATTGGATAGTTCATTTGCGCAATTTTTATAAAATATTGGAGGAATCGCATCTATCCCGGCACCTTTGTGAGTGCCAAGTAATTTAAGTTGACGAGTAACCTCGTCCATTTTTACTATTATTTTTGCGTTAACGGAAAGTTTACGTGCATGTGCTGAATTTGATGCGTCTGAAGACATACTGTGATAATGACTGTTAAATGTCGAAGAGAAATAATCGGCAAAAAGATTAGCCGTATCATAACCATTATTTGCAACTTTATCATTAAAATTCATTACAGCAGGAAAAGAACTATCATCCTTGCGCTTAGATTTAATATAAGACCAGAAATTTCTTGGATTTGAGATAATATTGTTCTGTATAATACTAATATAGTTGCTAAACGATTTGTTTATCATATCTTGAGATCGGTCCTTCAAAAGATTGTATTGAATTTTATCCATCTCATTTTTGTAAATTCTATATCGTTTTCGATATTTCTCTTTTTCATTTAGCAGTCTGATAAGAGAACGTGTGTACCAAATCGGATATTTTCTATATCTTTTATGCTTCAATGGGACGTATTCTTGTATAAGTTTCCTTAAAATAGAGTAAAAAACAGAAACCATATCATCCACATTCATATCATCAGCGAGAGCACGGTTCCAATCAATAGAAGACAGTTCTTTCTTTAAGGCATCATAGTTTGCTTTGTAAAAATTATGTATCGATTTGCTGTCTATATTATTCAATTTTAAATTTTGAGTTGATGCTAGGTTTAACAGTATACTTAGTGGTGGATGATAGCCATCAATAACTGAGATAGGATCTAAACACTCGCTAACTTTGATGTCATTAATATTGGACAAAACTAAGTCCAATATTTTGTTATTTTTATTTTTTAATGCATTAAATTGATGTGTATTGCAGAATGACATAAAATCTACTAATTTAGCGCCCATTGTATCATCATAGTTACTGGGATTTAAATAAGTTGAGAAATCATCTTTAGTCCAGCAAATGTGACTCATGTTAAAATCCCCCACAATAAAGTTATTTTCTGATTCACTAATGGCTCTAGCAGATGCATTAAAAAATGATTCCAGTACTGTGTTATTAACAGGAGGGGGGATATATACAGCACAGAGATATAGCGCATTCCAACCGTGTTTGCTTGGGAGATCTATACATACCCATAAGTCTTCTGCGGTGCTTTCAAGTTCAGTCCTTCTACAAGATTTATAGGATTTTTTTATAGCAATTAGGACGCCACCACCGTTTTTAGACTGAAAGAATGTATTTGATTGCCTATCTCTTCTGTACACGTTATAACGACTATCAAATATTTCGGCATCGAAAATGTTTTGATTAAGCCAGGTCTCTGTTAGAATAATAACTGCATAATCGTTTAATAAAACATTTTTGTAAACGTCAAGTAACTTGGTTCTAAGACCCCTAACATTCTGATAATATATATCTAAAGTAGTATCATTACGGTTTATATTCAGAGTTTTACTCATGTACATATGCTGAAAACAAGTAAGGAAAGTTAAATGTATTTATAAAAAAAGTAATTAATTTATTAAGTAATTAATTGTTCCAGCTGTGAAAGACTAGAAATATTTTTGGCAGGACCTGAATCGTTCTTTCGAACATAAATCCTTCCGTTGCGAACCCAGGTGTATTTATAGCCGTGGCTTTTAGCACGTTTCCTGGTTTCAAAATGCAAAATTTTGTTCGCTAGGGTTAAGTGCTCATTTACAAACACGGCAGAATCCGGTCCTGATATTCCTAGCAATGACGTCGAGAGCTTGTTATTTCGATTGGATTTATTATAATTTATTACAGCCGCTAAGAAATTGTCTCTAGTATGTTTATTTATAAATTGACACACCAGATTTCTTGGTTTGTCGGAGTCCTTATTTGATTTAGCAACCCTTGTAGCAACAAGTATTTCCTTCGAGGAAGATAAGGCAAAACCCACCGCGTTACAAATTTGCTCAATAATATCGACAGTATTTTCTTTTCGGCGTTCCGGTACTCCCACAATCTCAACGTTGCTTTGTCGAGCAAATTGTTCTATTGACGTTAAACGATTTTGCAAGTCAAGCACTGTGCACTGAAGATTGATCTTTTCTACTTGAAGTGTTTTTATTTCTTCTGATTTGGAGTTTACGACCTCCAAAAGTTCATCGTATTTGTTACTAAAGAACGTCGAAGACTGTTCCAGACGGTGGATTTGCCCCTGAAACGGCTCCAACTCTGAAGCTAAAACCTCACGTATTATATTTGATAATTCCTTCCGAATTGTGCCGATAATTTTTTCTTCGATCTTGTCTAGGAGATTTTGCGGAATTTTTTTGTCAGGCGTATTTAATTGTGTCTCTGTAGTTTCACTGGCCGGAGAACAATTCGAGCACATCCACTGTGATCTAGGAATTGATTCATCAGTATATTCGGCACAATCTTGATGATATAACTTACAGCATTTGGTGCATTTTAATCTCTTTTGAGTTACAGGTATCGCAGATGAACACTTAGCACATTCCAAAGGCATTTTCAATCAAATAACAACAATTCTTCACTCGTAATTTTTCTTTTTTCCGATCATGGGATAATAAAGTAATCTTGACTTTATGGAATATATTGTTATTTAATTACGTTAATTAATCACGGAACAATATTTTCGAGTCACCGCCTTTTTATTGTAAACGATCAATCGAGGTTGCAATCCACCGTTTGCACTAATTTGACACAGTTAATTTAATATGTTTGCACTGAATTGTTTATACGTTTAAGGCACTAACACACACACGTATTACGAACATTTATATTAACTTTTAAGCTTAAGAAACAATTAAAAACTATTTTATTCAATTGTAAATAGACAGACATTTATGAAATTAAGTCTTATTAAACCCTTATCTTAACTGAACTCTGGATTGTTTTTATGATAGAAGGGCAAGCACGGGGTTCGCTGGATAAAAAGTGAAATATCCCAGCTGTATAACATCTCAGCAAGAAACGCTGTCGAACTAATTTAGTTTTGGTTAATTGGAATTTCACAGACTGAAACCAAAACGCGATTAAACTTTACAAATCTTTTAATTGTTGATCGTGATTTGTAACCTGAACGGAATTTAGATAATCCTACTACATTGCTACCATAAGATTAACTAGTACGTTAACACTCTGAAAATATGTTTTTCTTTGTAAATTGTATGAATTAATCAAACCCAAAAATATGTTTTTTTTATTACCTTCTTATCCATAATCTTGAATCTCTTAATTACCTTACCTTTAATACATACTTTTGATGCTTTCAGCACTTTATGGAGTGGCAGTGTCTTGATTCGAGGGTCGGAATCAGTTCGCGCAGTATTAGGCCAATACACTGTAAATGAGCCCCAACACGATTGTTTTGCGCCCGAGGCTACGAGGCAGCCGCCTGCGCATACAGTAAGTAAAATAAATATTATTTTTTCTACTAAGGTACAAAAACAATTAAGTCCTTATCAGGGACTACCGCAAATAGGTAGTAGTATGTAGGACTCGGTACCTCAATTGGTAGAGGCAACAGCACGAAACGCTGACGATGCCGGTTCATGTCCTGCTCGAGTCGAAATTTTTTTCAATTTATTTTCGATTTTTAAACTGCAAATCTCAAGGCCAGGCATCTTTTAGAACAGAAAAACATAGACACTGTAATCAATAATAATAACAGTACACTATTGGAATTAATTATTACAAGTAATTTAAGAACCGACAGCAAAATGCGTTCACACAATGAAAGAAATGTATAATGCCACGATGTTTTTAACTCCTTACCGTGCCTTAAATCTACTGATTGCTTTGTCTACAGACGAGCAGCGAAGTTTGGTCCCTAGGATATTTGCTATGGGAAGTGTGCGCGTGGGGCGCACCTCCTCCCCTTACACCTCCACCCCCGCATCTACCTTGTCCATATAGGAACCATTTGTGAGTATTATTACCTCGAGTTCAATCCATTTCAGGTAAAGTTATATTGAAATTATATTATACTATCTGTGTATTTTTGCAGGTACCAAGTCATGCAACTCTGTTGGAATCCTAACCCAGAAAGTCGTCCGACGGCCGCCCAAGTACACGCACTATTAAACCACTTGCACACAACACACTCTCATACTGAAACAGATGACCAACACTTTGAAGAGCGATGGCAAAGACTGAAACCGAACACTATCCCCAAAGTCGACGAGCACATAGCCATCGTCCACGCTCCGTCCACCTCCACAGATTCACAATTTGGCTCCGATCTCGAGTTTGAAAGCGCACAAACGATCCACGACTCCCTAAGCGTCGGTGACACAGCTGTGTCTCGCTCGAGCAGCATTATGTCCGATAAAGAACCCCTCTCCGTGCAAATGAAGTCCGAGAGTCTCAATAACCTGCACGGCTCCTTTGAAGACGTGAGGAACATCTACCTAACACACAACGAAGCGGCCGCCCTTGAATGCCACCAGGGCAACATTGGCTACGAGGAGAGAGAACAAGACCGCTCTGACAGTTCGGTCGATCCCTGGCTCAAAGAGATCATCGCCGGCAGTCAAGACGATGTCAGCTATTTCAAAGATGTCAGCGACGTGATAAAGAACCTGGATAACATGTTGAATTCAGAGAAAACTTCGAGTTCAGAATCCAGCCATCAAGCGAGCCCATCGAGGGACAACCTCAGTTTGGAATGCAAAAAGGATCACCCAATGCAGACGAGCCTCGTAAAGTCTCCGGGGATCAGAAACTTCCAAAACATTCTAGAGATGGGTTTCGATAAGGCGACGGAAGAGGAAGCATGCGATGATGACGTCGATCGTGACACCATAGGAACCCTAAGCCATTCATTCGAACGCCACAGTGACAACACCAGCCAGTATACCCTAGAAAATATTACCCCCGAAACGCCAATCAAAGATTTTACCACGAATCTTTTCGAATCTATGAACGAACAGAACATTAGAATAAGTAACGAGTGTAAGTCTTTGCCAGATGAAGAATTGCCAAATGATAATATAGAAGATAAAGAATTCAAAGTACCTAAATTGAAGGAATTGTGTGAATGTGAACCTAGTTTAAGAAATGATATTGAATTGAAAAAAAGACTGTAAACTCCAAGACATCAGAACGACGGATGAAACTAAGTCAGTAGCTTTAATACAGAGTGAAGGAATTGAAAAAGCCGAAGCGATTTGTAGTAGCGAAGTAAGCCAAAATCGAGACTTGAATATAGAAAATACAACATTGAATAATAAACATGAAGATATAAATGCACTAGTCAATGAAACTAAATCTAATTTTGCTACAATACCTGATAGTACTTCCGAACCACTCAACGAAACATTAATACCACAGCGAATTGAAAATGGCTTTGCCCAAACTAGTGTTATCGGGCCTAAAGATAAATCTTATGTATCCGATAATAGACTAGACGATACTCTTACGCCTAATATTTATGTAGCCACAGATAAAAGTAATCTAACTGATTCCAATTGTCTTCCAAAAGCTATTATACATCAAACTGAGATATTTTTATCGAATGAAGTTGAGGCACAACAGATGCCAATTGACGTTGATAATGTTAAAGAAATGGTGGAGGAGAAAGTTAAAGAGGTAAATGAACAGGAACGACCAAAAGAGAACATAGCATTGAGAGATGATTCATCTACACATCTACAATCTTTAAGAATAGAACTTATTCATGATAACCAAGAGAACGTTGAGAAGGCAAGTGACTTTGCCTCAGAAAATGTTGTAGTTACATCAAAGGCTGAAGGTATTTCTTCGTCTAGTGAGTTAATTGTAGATTCTGTGCCGAAAGATTTGGTAAACGAGGAATGTATAAGTGAATCGGAAAAAGCACAGGACTTATTAGAACATGTAGGAACGTTTACAGAGCTTCCTGACTTAGTACAAATATGCGATAGCTCAGCCGTGGCTAATAACAAATCTCCAATGATATCTCAGTTGAGTCATGAAAAAGTGCAAAACGGAAATGATCACATACCTTCAGATTCTTTGGGTGATGAATTTAGCAGTGTGGATCAAATTACAGCCGAAAATGGAATAATACCAGATGAATTATCTATTAACAGCACAGTTTATATGGATATTGAAGGTAGCGCGAAAGATGTGTCAAAAGTTATCAAGGATAATGCCACTGATGTGTCCACATACATAGAAAATACATCTTTTGTCGAAGAAAAAAATGAATCCACAATGTATCTAGATCTCCCTAGCGTCATTAGAGAAATGGATGTTTTCTTACACTCCGAAAAAATATTAAGTAGTGCTGAGGTGGAATTTAAGGACAACGTTCACGCAAGTACGCCAATCGGCAGCAATAGTTCTGTCGATAATGTAGTCGTAGACCCTGAAGATGCACCTGCCGATTTAGAAATAGCACCAGACTATAATCTTGCGATAGCCCTAACAAAACTCGAACAAAAAACAGTTCTCGACACTTATAGCCCGTTCGAATCGCCTACGAAGAGCCATCAAACCGACACTTATGATGAGAACAGTTCAGTCGTATTGGGACCCTTTGAGAACTGTTCCCTCGAAATATTCAAAGGCTTGAAAACCGGCAGCGACTTAGTCGATTTGCCTAAAGAGGAGCTTTTGGCGTTCTCCTCAAATTTCAGCGAGATCAATCTCGAAACGCCGTCGCCGTTGCGCGACGGAAATTTCTTGAATGAAGTACCGGATTTAAACGATGATTCACAGTACGAGAACGTTAGTGAACCAAAACGTGGCGATGAAGCTCAAACTGATAACAATACAGATGAAACAGAGGAACAATCTACTACTGAGAAGCGCGTATCTCCGTCCACACCGCCAAATTCACCGGGCAACATTCTAGCTTCGTCATCGCAAGCCTATTTAGTCGATATCGATTTAGAGACCGAACCGATTCAAAACATCGATATTAACGAAATCGAAGTGTCACAACTAGCGATAGCCGAAAACGAAAATAATATGAATCTGGAATACTCCGGACCACTGGTTGAAGAAGGATTGATTGATTCCTTGGTAATGAACGAAACAGTTGCGGAATCAGTCTTGGCGGGCAATGGGAGAGTTGACGAGACTGAGAATACAGCTATCGACGCCGAACGAATGAAGGAGCTGAGGAACGAGTTGGAACTGAAACTGCCATTAGCCCAGGTACTTCTTTTTTATAAAAGTGCATCGTATACATTTAACATAAAGAATATGTTTTTACAGTACTGAAATAAACAAATGTACTTATCAACATCATACGCCTTTTAATGCTTGTGTAACGAAATTGCAGGTGGCCGGCATCGAACCCGCTAGCTCCTGGACAGAACTGCCTCCTCCGCCGGAGTTACTCGTCACGTATGGAGCTCTTAGTCCCATAGCTGAAGAAACTGGACACCAGCTGACTGCGTATGAGAACGATGATAATTGTAAGTATAGTGATATGTATCTCTTCAATAAACATCGTTAGTTACCTAACTTCGTGTGTTCCTAATAATTTCACGTACTTTTTACTCAAAATAGAAATACTTTACATAAATTGACCTACTAATTAAGTTTATTTAGGTAAATGTCATATTTGACAACTAATAACAATATGCCCTATAGAATTATTAAACTCACCATCTCGGTACAGGGAACACGTCCGTCCGCACGGAATCGTCCGAGAGTTACCCAGAACCAGCCAACAATTCCACCGACGAGATGACTGAGCTTCCGACCGGTTTGGCCAGTGCTACGCAACCCTCGCGAGATCACTCCACCTATACAATTCATTCCCACCAGACTTATACTCTGCATAAGGACGCAACGGCTAGCAGAGAGTTAGTTATTTCAAAATATAATTATTTCCATGAAATAGTATGTATACATTAAATGCATCATTGGTTATTTTATCACTGATTATATGCGACTGCGTATACTCTAGTAAAAAGTGTATATATATTACATTGTGATATTGCTATCTTTGAATAATTTATCAAAGTATTACATTTTCACAGGATCACAATGAGCGCTGACAGTCTTAACTGTAGTCCACTGAAGAAAGTCGTAGAGGAGCCCACGTCCCCGATTAACGATAAAACTTACACTAAGGAGGACGACGATAAGGAATCAAACTATGAAAGATTGTCGCAAGTCTCACCTTGTCTTATAAGCCCTACTACAGACACCTCCGCGCCTGATAACTCCGACATGAACGCAGCCCTTTCAACTCTGTCCAAACCCACCTTGCCCACAGATGCTAAATCGTCGAAACCATCAGAAACCCAATGCTTATCTAAAGCTACTAGTATCGATTCCTGGTGTTCCAATGACACACTGTACAACGTGGAGGAAAACTTTGATGACCTGGCGATGGATCCTGATCTGCCTCTAGATTACGAAGCAGAAAGGGATAAAAGTGAAAGTGAAGATACTCTCACTCATAACGATGATGACAGAGAGTTGAGTCACACTTACATCATTCACGATAGTAAGTCTGAGGCCTGTGACACTTTTTCTCCGGATTCTATCACCGCGAATGATAATTATACATACACCAAAGTGAAAACTGGAACTACTCCGTCAGCAAACACCAAGTCTGATCTCAATGACTCAAAGAATACTCAAACTAAAGACTTGGCTTACGGTACGCTCGGCTCCGGTATGCCCTCGTTCTCGAATTGCACTACGGAACTCGCTTCCGGCTTCGAGGACACGTGGAAGCTGCCACAGCCAGAGTTAGTCAGAAGATCTCCTATAGGAGACGAGATTATTTTTTCCCCGCCGACACAGGTCGAAGAAAAGAGTATATCCTTACAAAACCCGAAAATGCTTAAGCCTCAGCTTAATAAAATGGACAGTGTTGATACGATTTTTTTCAAAGACGACAAAGAAATCGAACATCCTGAAGTTAAAAACAATAGTCCCAATTTCAAAGGCGTTACTAACGCCGTTACAAGTACCCCGGTTCTAGAGACAGAAGAAGATAATAAAGATGTGGTACCGTACCCTTTATCACAGATGACTGCAAACACGGAAGATATAAGCGCTATTAATATATCAACTAAAGAGTCGTCGCCTAATAAGAATAATGATGCAATTGATAAACTCTACGCTACTCCCTTTCTAGAACGTGAGAGTGAAATGGCAGATTCAAAATTTGAATCTTTCTTTAAATCGGCGGAAATACAACCCCAAGATTTTTCACATATTAATAATGATAGGTTGGGTAATGCTGCTAATAGTGCTTCTGATCAAAAACTCGCATCACCAAAAGATTCTGAGTTGACTGAAGGTAGCTTAAAAAACTACACAGCATTTTTTACATCGGCCGAAATAAGACCACAGAACCTATCTAGTCTAACCGCTGAAAGCAAAAAAGAAACATTCGATTTAGATGAAATATTAGATAAAAATGTAATAGGTGAGCTGGATGTCGACAGCAGTCCAAAAAACGTTGAAATGCATGCCCAGTTATTGCAACCTAACAACATTTGTAACTCTGATGTTGATGAGGCCAACAAAGTCTTAAATTCAGTACCTGTATTAAAAGGATTAGATACTTCTTCTAAAAGCCATACGTGTGAAATGAGTGACGATAAAAGTATTCCGGCTATACCAGATGACTCCGAAACTAGTCTTAACAGCTTGATAAATTTCCAATCTTTCGCACGGTCAGCGGAATCTCGGCCTCAAGATATATCGAAGCAAGATGACACGAATTCGACCGAAGTATCTGACAATCGACAACAACAGAGCCAAAACGGAGACAGCCTAGCCGTATCCAAGAACGCGCTTTCGTATTCTGATTTTGAGAATTCAGCTTCAGTAAAACCTCAAGATATGCACAGTTTAAATAGGTCTAATCAGAGCGACGAGAGCGGAGTCGTTCCAGATGGATTCCGAAATTTTGAGATCACTGCGAGGGAACGGCCGCAAGATCTGTTCTCACTTATCGATTCTAGTTCTCTGTTCCTGAACAGTGAGAGAACAGCTAGTGAGCGCGTAAACTGTCTTTTCAGCCAAAAGATTGACCAGCCTTCTACCAGCAAAGTTGAACCGTCGGTCATAATAAATCCAACTTTTTCCTCTTATACAAATTCGCCAGATCGCGATGGCCAGCCGAATATATTTGTAACTGATTTGGATATGGACGATGAAAATGAGCAGCCCCATTCTATAATCATCACTGAAACTCCAATGCTAGCTAAAATGAGTCCAAATATATGCAATATTAGTGACCAAAACGATCCTAATTCACCTACAGCAGAAAATACAATAGAAAATACCGATATTGACTCAGGACTGCTAGATTATGATAGATTATTAAATAAATCTTTTGTGGAAGATTTAAAAGAACCGACTACTAAGGAAAACGAAGAAACGCAATGTAACGGAACCAACGAAGTTTTCGCCACGGTACACTTTCTGAACGAAACGTTCGAAGAGCTGGTGGAAAGTAACGTGGACGAAAGTGATGTAAATGAGACGAATAAAGGCAACTTGAATGTGTCCAAAAAGCAAAGTAGTTCGGACGGCGATGAAAGAGTGACGGCCGTGACACAAGATTTCCTACAAAATGAGAAGAATTTTTGTGAACTCGATGCTTTCTTTCCGCTTTTAAGTGACATACGATTCACAGGTATATTTTATCTTTCTTAAACGTTTTATTGTTAAAACTTATTGGTCTACTTTTAATAAGACCAAAAAATAATAATTAATAAAGATAGCTTGTCTTGTTTAGATTTTATTTCACTTTTAATTTAAACTTGTAGTTCAATGTGATTGAACAGTATATAAACTTAGTTATACCAGCAACACAAAAAAATGTGTACTAAATCCTAAAATCAGGATATTTTCATATGTCAATGTGAAGTTCATAAATTCTATCTCAATTCTAGGTCCCGGTTCAGAAATAATGAGTACATCATTCACGCACGACTCTCCCACTGAGCCGACGTCTCCCGAGGGCGAAAGAGATAGCACCACCGAAAAAGATAAACCATCGGAGTTGTTGAAAGAGTGGGACAGCGATACTGATTCGCATTCTACGAATTCATCTAGCGGAGAATTTATATGGAAGGTCTGTAGAATTATAATTTTTTGAGTCTAACTTGTTTTTGTCAAAAGGGGTTTGATGTTTGTGCTTGGCATATAATTTTATTTACTTTGTTTTTTTTTTTGTGTTTGTGCAATTAGATTAAAAATTCAAAAGAAGCTAACCTCAAATTAGGTGAGATTGGACATCGAAAGACTAGACTAGAATTCCTGACTGCAAAATTATATTCCCTTTTTTATTTCGCTGTTGATTTGTTAACGATTTTTGTATTTATATTTTCCAAAACACTTTACTACTCGAACACAACCCTGTAGTAACCCTTTTCAACCTTGTACTATGTCCAAATAGGTCGTATATTTATTGTTTATTTTAGTTTAAATCGTCAAATCTTATTGAACCACCCTGTTGCGTATGAACTAGCGCCCTCTATTAACATTTGACGAAACTACATTGCGCGAGAGGTGCACGTATTGATAGGTTGAAAAAATTCGCTGAAGACGTGTAGGACACGGTAGCTCAATTGGTTAGAGCAACAGCATGCAACACTGTGAATGCCGGTTTAAGTCCTGCCCGAGTCGTTAATTTTTTTTCAATTTAAAATCTATTTAACATTTGACGATTTAAAACGCAATACTTGGTGACGGTGCGGTGTCGGTGCTTGCATGTGACGTGTGTGTGCTTAGGACGGCGACGGACACGAGACTGCCCTCGTGCCGAACACGCAGTTCCAACACGTGAGTGTGCCTTTCAATATCTTTTGATGTTTCCCGCACTCAGCTTGAGCCAAAGTCCTTTTATATAGTAATCTGAAGGCATTATACCATTGATTAATATATTGGATTCAAGAGCTAGGATTGACTAGTTTGTCAGTCTTCAAAAGTGCTAATAACAATAAACAAAGACGAAAAGTATCAGACCAATATACAAATTCCACACTCAAGCTTTGTACTGGTATATTCGTAAACTTAGAGAATACACCTCAGGCCTACATTATACTTTCTGATAGCAGATTCTTACTAAACCACATTTGAAACCAGAGTGTGACTGGATTATAAGAATGTTCTGATTACTACATTGTATAAAAAAAATATGTAAATAAAGTTGGTATTGATAAAATATAAATTTACCGTACGTCACGTACAGGGGGGAGGGGCGAGGCAGGCGCGGGCTCAACGCCAAATTATTGAAGGTATCGATCTATTGTACTGCCGACTTAGTAAGGTTCTCCTGTGTCTAAATTAAATTGATCTAGACGTACTCTTTTTTAATTCTACTCTGAGGTGTATACTTACTAATTTACTACATTTTTATATTTCACCTGAGTATAATTCATCTGTAGATTTGAACATCTATACTCATAGCTTGCTTTCTAGTTTTAATGCTTTTGCATGGTTGTTACTGGAAATTTTTGTTCTATACGAATTAAATTAAAATGACTTATATTATACTTAGAGCAATCATTATACTATTTTAGGCATTAATTTCATTGGCCTAACATTTTCACTAAACTGATATTAGCTTTATTAAAACAATATTTAATAAATTAGTGAATTGGTGAATAAATAAGTACATTTAACTGTCAATCCGTAAATTACTTTTCATACAACATCTGGATTAGTTGCTAATATCTCCGCCCCAATTAATTAACGTGGCGTCATACAGTAGTTATGATATATGCTATCTTTGTCTTTTGCTCCCAAAAGGTAAAGGATAGATAAAGGCGTCTATTTTATGTGTCACGTTGTTTAATATCGATGGATATTTACATCTCTATTTATAGAACAGAATTAGAAAGAATGTGTGCCGTGGACTAAATATAGCTATAAGTTGAAGTAAATTTAAAAGTCGATGGGTTTGGTTAAAAGTTTTAGGTCATTTTTAATTAAACAGAGCGAAAAAAGAGAAAACAATTTCTATTTTTTGTCTATTGGTAATGCATAAAAAAAATCGAATTCAATTTAATAATAAAGCTAGACTGATGCATAACTTTATAACTTACTCTTTCTAATTCAGTTAGATAAATAGAGACAGCAATATGTTCTAAGACCCTAATCTTTGATACAGCAAAGAGATAGCGGTCAGCCGAGTCGCGCTGAAGCTGGTGAATCATTGCAAGAAGCGTCTTCTGTCGGATCCGGGGACTCGGGCTCCGGGTCGGGCTCCGAGGGGGAGGAGGTCGAGTTCGTGCCATCTTCCTGGGATTGCCGTGCGGCACCCGCTAAGTCATCACTGAGGAGCTTGGAACAACCAGCTGTCAGTACCAATGCTTATGCAATAGTGATCCTTGGAGGATGTTCTTGGCGAAAAATGACATTCGTTATAAACATTTGAGAAAATAGCCAAATAGACTAGATTTTTTTTTTAGATCGTACATACGTGTTTTAAAACGGGTTTTGTGTTTTACCGCCATAGAGTTAATTATTTATTTCTCATTATACAACACGTTAGTTGAAATTGTAAACTATCTGGCAGTTTTCAATTAATTTTATACATGTATAAGATCTATGGTTTTTTTCCGTCGTTAGGTTAAACCTAGTTCGCGATATTTTACGGTTCGTTTCAAGCTAGACTATGTCGTTTTTCAGGACGGCAAGAAACGGGTCGTATTCAAACGGCAAAAGTACCACTGCGTGTACGAGTACCCTCGGGAAGCGAGCGACCTCGACGTGGAGTCGCCTGCGCATTACCTCCCAGATTTCTCGACTTATTGCGGTATGTTGGTCAATATTTTTGAATTAATATGTATTTCTCGCAAAAAATATACTTATTTAACCATTTGATATTAACACAAATCATAAGTTTTATTTTTATACATTGTAATATGCAAAATAGTTTGCTTGAAATATAAAAACATACAAATGAACGAATTATTTGTATTCCTCCAGAATGGGACCCGCGTAGCGCTGAAGAAGCGGAGGTTGGTTACGGGCAGCTGTTTGCCGCGCCAAGTCCACTTGATATGTTTCCGTTGAGGGGGGGCATCGCTTTCGGAGCCGGTATGGAATCGACTTTTTGTCGAATCGAATTTTTGTCTTAATATTGATATACCATACAAGGAAAACTACTACTTTCTACAAAGGAAAATGATAAGGATTATTAAAAAACTAAAGGTTAAATGTTTTGCTAGAAGGTGACATACCTTTGTCTTATAAAATCGAATTGACATTTGCTTTCGACCTTTTTTGATCTAAGAAATATATTTGATATTATTTGATTATAAAATTGTCCTTAAATTCGCATAATAAATAGCACCGTAATATTTAATTAAGGTTCTAATATTTTCATTTTCTTAACTATTTCTCTCTTTATCTCTCTCTCAGACTACGATGAGGACTTTTACATAACTTCAACGGCACGGCCCTTCGAACTGGGTGTGCTCTCTACGAGCAGTCAGTTCTTCCCCGGGATGCACCTAAAGCAGTCTCTCCTACCAGAACAGGATGACTTCCCACCGCCTCCCTCTCCACTTCCCCCGTTAGATCCTTCGCCCCTCCCCCTGTCTCAAACGCGTACTCCTTCCTTAGATTTCACCACCCCCGATTCTGGGGTGGAAGACATTACTCCTGGTTCCACGGTTGATGAGGATATAAAGATGACGGAATCATGGAAACCAGATAGCACCAGCTCGAGTGAATCGGTGAGTCCGAGCTCGCCGGGTGGAGAGTTAGGAGGTTTAAGACACACGAGGGATAAGCTAAAGCTGGATTTGCCTCCTAGCCCCCACCTTCCCTCACCCCGGCATAACAGGGTGTTCAACTTTGTCTTGGATAAGCCGAAGCGACCAGCTGAATCCAATACTCCATTAGGTGAGTCTTTCATTATTTTAGCTTTGTAGATTTATAAGTAACTAACAATTTCATCAAGGAAAATGATGAAATTGTTAGTTACTTATTAATAGCATTTACAAAGGAAATGGATTTTGAATTTGTCTAGAAAATCGACCGTATAGATAAGTAAATGTATAACTTTTCGACTAGGCACTTACATGACTTTTTAAATTAAAAATACCTAAGGTTTTTAAGACAAATTGTCCTGCGGTAAATAAGTTTTAGTTTAAAGTATTTCTCACGATTTTCTTATCTATTGACAGTAATGAGTGACGAGACCCCAATAATGATGGCGTTGCCAGTCTCGAAACGGGACGACCCAATACCAGAACCAACGTTCTCCACGTTCGGCAAACCGACCTGCAAGTCCACTGCTGACTCGAAGAACATTGTTCTGACGGATAATGCTGCATCACCTGAGGCCCAGCAAGAAGAACTAATTTCTGAGGCTACAGAAAATCCAGAGATTTCGAATGTGCCAGAAATTATAATGAAAGCCGATATCGAGGAGAAGGCAGACAAAGTTGAGCCCGTGAAGGGTGAAGGCACTGTTCTGGACAGTGGCGATGAAGATTCAGGTATAGAGAGCAGTTCTAAAGCTACCCTTGAACGAAAACCTGCCAACGTCACGTAGAGGAGAAATATGTCACATAGATCATGCATGGAGAAAAAACCTTACAGCTTTACTCGCTAGGGAGTTTATTTGAGGCACGTGACAGCGCCTCTAGCGAATATTAAGGGAACTACACTCGCTTACAAATTTGATACTTGATTGAATAAGTGTGTCAGTTTTCACATAACGTCATATATATACTCAGTAATTTACAAAAATTTCATACTGAATATTAGCGAATAATTGATAAAATAAGCTACATCACAATTTCAGTGTTTATGCAACGTCGTGTAGCCAAGTATGCCTAAAAAGAGGTTGCATAGATTTTAACTAAACGATAGTACGAACAAATCCATGCCATAATATCTTTGTCGGTAATATGCGATTTTGCTATTGGAAGTTTTGTATCCAGTTTACTTATAATTCGGGAACATATACACAATAGGAGTAAAATTTCATTACAAAGCAGTATTAAATAGAATCGACATTACTTTTAGAGGCAATCGGAACAAGTTACATATCGTTCGAACGTCGCCCAGTGAATTACAACAATGGTACAAAGGTCCGTGAATTATTGCAATTGTAGATACATAGTTTAACGCTTTATAATTAAGTCGTGAAATATTTTATGGCCTATTAGATGCTCGTTCCGTTCGATAATGACAGAGTTAAGTCGACCGCACATATTCACTCGAAATGATCGAGTCATCAATTCCTTTTTACAATCAGTCAATATTGTGCTTTAATATCCTTGTAATTTTCAAACGGAACGCGTCCCAATTTTTATACTCCGACAGACTAAAAAGCTAGCAGTTCATACGTAAAATAGATCGCACATTATATCTTTGCTAAGGTGTGTTATCTGACATTGACATTTCAAATGTCAACCTTATGTCAAGTGTCATTCTGTAAGGGAAATAATCCTTAAGCGACGCTCCTAGCTCGGGTTTAATGCGCGATCTACGTTTAATTTAGAGTAGTTAAGTGGACGTTAAAGTTTGCCAAAATGTGCGTTGTTCGCTAAAGATCCACGCACAATCTACAATCAGTGGAATAGTATGTTGTAGAGGTGCGGTCCGAATTTCATAATCTTAATAGTAGTTAAGTAAGGTACAAAATTATTTTTCCGCTATCCGTGCCACGCTAAATTAATCTTGAGATTTTTTTTGTCAATGAACGCTTAGATTAAGTGTACCTTTTCTGAATTGTAAGGCTTTCGTGGCGCAAAGGTATTGCGGTTTTTGAGTTATTTGGCCGTCGTAATAAATAAATGGTTATCCACGTTTTGCCGTCATGTCATTACGACAGTCGACGGATTCGAAAACCCAAATAGCCCCTTTTGAAAAAGAAAGTAAAGCCCAATATAAATCGTTTTAAAATCTGAATGTAGACCAGAGATTCAATTCTCTTTGCGACGGACACGGATAGTACAACTTTGACTGAATTTCTTTCTCGAATCTTATAGTCAATTCTACAGTATTAGATATTTCTTTACATAGTCTCACACGGCCATAGATCCGCACAAAAGTCGCACATCGCCTTCAAGTTGAATCTCATAGTGTTAGTACAGCGGAACGCGCTCTCAACTCATGAGGTCAGGCCAATTCTTAGTTAAGTGAAAGATATCGTTAAGTAGCAGTAATTAATGGTTTTCGGCTGTCGATGACAAATTTTGTTGGAACTTTATATCGCCATTTCAGTAGTTCTTTGTTTTATTCACATGACGAAAGAGTAGTTGGAATCGGCAATAGGCTATTTGATCAGATTTATATTGCGAGTTGCCATAACAGACATACAATGCTCTACGTTGCCTCATAAATTAACTTCCATATTGTTCTTTATAGGATTCTATTAAAGTTATGACTTTATACGAATGATGAAAGTCATTTATATTCTTTTACATCTACCCACTTTTTTCGATTTAATGTTCGCGTTGAACGTAGCTCGCAAATTTAAATGAAAATAATAATTTTGACTTCTTAAAAGAAACTACTCAAATAGCCTATTGCTTATTGTGTATTTTTAATGTACAAGTTTTTTTATTGCGTGAGTGAGTGTCATCGAGAGCAAGTGTGCGTTGCGTACACGCGATATGTCCATGTGTGCGCGATGTTGTCTGTGCGTCTTAGTTGTCTGTAAATAGTATTATTGATTGAAAAAATCGAAATTTATGAATTCTACGCGTTTATTGTTCTTTTCTATATTTCGTTACTGTACAGATGTAAATACGTATAGATGTCCATTTTGTTGCAATCTCATGTAGTGATACGATTAGTTTCGAAGTAAGAGCCAGGTTTGATCCGTACCACAAGGCCACGAGACGACGTGTTGATTAATAGCTAACACCTTAACATCTATCTACAACACGTAAAATGAAGCAGATAGAAGTCTTGCGGTACGGTGAATCTTCAAATGTAGCTCGTAGCTTACTATAAGATCTTAATGTCAATGTAATTAGATTTTATAAATAATTCTTTATACAATTAATGAATATTATTAAATTATAATGATAAATTAAAAATAACAAATAAATATCGTGGTTTTATTTTTTTATGTCTTTAGTAACCCTAAGAAAATACAGCTCCGTGCCTTAGTTGAAAGCAATTGACCCAAAACAATGAAGGCTTGGAAAGTTAAATTAGCTTACAATATCTCTAATCAGATGTGCTTTTAAATTAATACTAGCAATAAGTACAATATTCGGGATAACCTTAACTTAACAACATTTAAAAGCATAGATATTTTATATGTATTTATTACCAGTGATGCCATCGAGGTGGAATTTCGAAACCAAAGTATAAACTACATACTGTAATAGACTTGAAAGGCCAAAGGTATAATGCAGACATTAGTATAGCTAGGTTACTTATGGAGTGGACTCCTCATTACGAGAAAGACAGTTCAGGTGATGGAAATAAGAGCAAAAGACAACGGGGTGGAAGCATGTAAAAGGGACTTCGGGATGTGAAAATTCACATTGTAATATTATTTGCTAAGGTCATATTATTTTATTACATATTAATCACTATTTTTATATTATTATTATATTTGTATATAATTTGAAATATAGGAATATTTGGAATTCTCTTTTTTTAAAGTCTTATATACATACACCTCGTGAATGTTTAATTATACTGACAAATAACATATATCTTCAAGAGAGTCCTTATAGAGATCACAGTTCTGTAGTGTCATAGCTTGTGTGCGGCGGTCAGCTCCGTCGCCAAATGATAACGAGTCCAGAAACATCGCTCGTCGCCAACAGGCTCTCGTCATAACTAAAGCTCACTCCTAGCACTGGGTGAGCATGTCCTGTAAAAGTGTAGTGTCTTAAACAAGTTGTCTCTTTCCCACAGTCTCCTATAAAGAAGTGAGACGCAAAATGATCTGTGGCCGTGGCCTTTTCATTCCCTACACACTACCAAGTGCGTATATTTTCTCTTTTACGCAGGCGTTACTAATGTTTTTTAACGAGACTAACAGTTGTAAAAAAATTACTCCAATTTCTTTCTATATAAGTATCAGACTTCCATTTTTGGCAGCTATATAAATCGTTCTACTATTGAAATATATTTTTTAACATATTAATGCAAATTACGGAGAACATTAAATTGCCCTCATATTACCCTCAGCTCAGGGGCAGGCGTTCGTTCGTCGCGGATTCGAGTCCCGTCAGTAACTGTTTCAACCGAGCACCAGGTCAGCCTATTCGTGCTTTACATATTAAGCTACAGATCAATCTTCAAATGGTTAGAACTTCGAGATCGTTGGCAAGAACATATTCCTCGATATACCTTGCAACTTATTGACAACAGGCTGCTCCGCATGACCCTCAATGTCCAGGAAGTAGACACACGCATCCTCGGATCCAGACACGACGCACACGCCGCGTCGAAACGACATGATCGGGCAGAAGGTCGACTGCACGCCGTGATGGCGATGCGCTATGTCGAACCGTTTCTTCAGAGATAAACTACCCTCGCGATCTGATATTCTGAAACGAAAAAAAGATTTTCATTATTTTGTTCATTTACGTAGTAATAACAAAACAAAAGAAGTTGACTTTGAAGGTACAACAATAACAACTTCTCTTAATACATAATAATTGAAATGATTACACAAAATCTTAAAATATAGTTGAATATTCTATATTAGTATTACTGTGAATTTTACTTAATTCGAAATTATATTTTTTCGACGTTATAAATAAACTTCATTTCCTTGAAAGTCACAAAGACGTATAACAGATGGCGCCACGGCGCACTAAGACTGGGCGCAAATAAATTTAAGCTTTGTTCCTTTAATAAAATAATTAAGATATGTAATATTACTAATCTAATTCCACTTTGAACATTTATACAACACACAGTAATCATTATAACAATTTCTTAAAGAAATTGAATGTATATAAAGAACAGTTTAATGATTAATATTATTATCAAACGCTAAATTTAAATATTTATTATATATTTTTATACTCATATAATTATTAAATATCAAAAATGTATGGTGATAATGAAAACTAAATAAAATATGCTCGGTATCTATACCACATAATACTGACCTAAATAAATACAGAGAGTCGTCAGCGGCACTGACCAGCAGCGCCGGATGCCTGGCGAGCCAAGGGCTCCAACTGAGGCACGACACGGCACCACCCACGCAACAGCGGCGCAGCTTGCTCAGGGCCCCGCCTGCCCCAGACATTCGGTAGCTTATTATCACACCCTGTATAATTAGAAACACACGATTGCAACCACTTCTATAAAGCCATTAAGGATAATTCAATTGATAATTGAAATACAGTGTGTCACACTCTAAGGACTGACTGAAAATGAGTTTCGGGTCAGCAAAGCACCTAATAAGCTCAGTAAGATCCTATTCTACAAAGCACACAACACACACATTAAGATTAAATAAAGGTTTATTTTTAATATCTAGTAATAAGTATATTTTTGTGTGGCTTATGGTAGCATATAAATGTATTACTTCTATTTCTCAAATTCGGTTAATGAATCTCAACCCGAATGGTAAACAAGTCGCGTTGTGTCAGTCCTAAGTTCTAAGCCTGAAGATAATCAGATTGAAGTCATATAAAAAACCCTACCTTGTCATTAGCTGCCCAGAACATTCTTCCACTGGATTCGCACGCTATTGAAGTTACGCGTCCACCAAGAATACTGCTCCCACCTAAAAGTGTATCATTATTTCTTTAGTTATTTATATTGTTTTTGTTTGTTTAGCAAAAATCTAACTACTATGTAACATGACTAATATGATAAGTGAAAGAGACAAAACATAGTGAGATGTATTTTACCTCGAGGATAAATCCCGGTGGAGACGTTAAGTACTTCGACCATACCGCGTGCGTTACCCGCCTAAGTAGCTATTAAGGAAATCCTTATAATTTCAATAAAAATAAAGTAGAATATACAATTAAAATGTTGTACCTTCAAATTAAGGGGTTTGCAAGCTTTGATGGGAATCAATGCCAACTTAAATTGAACTTAATATAGCTAGGTGTTAATTATTATTTTCTAAGTTCTCTTAAAATTAAATAAAATCAAAATTATTATTTTTTATTTTATCTTTAATAATACGTTTTACGCCTTTAATTTGGGAACTTGAAGTAAATGTACATTTTAAGTTTTTAATTATTAACTGTATTGACGTTCATAAGCCTACATAAATAAATTATTTTTCATTTGATTTGAATAAGTAATATATTTTTGTGCTATATGTTAAACATAACCTTCTCTTTTTTGAGACCAAGACTCTTCAAAGCAATTCGCATCTGACTAGAATAATCAGAATGCTAAAAAGGATACAATAACCATATTGTTGTTAACGGGCTGAAAGACACAGCACAGCAAGGGAGCTTGGAGCTGATCTTGAACCGCTCTGAGTTGGCGCCGGCGGTTCACGTCCCACAAGATCATGGCTCCATCGGCACCACAGGTCACCAGTAAATCATTCGAAGCTGACCAGTCACAACCTATAAACAAAAATAGCGAGCGAGCGATATAAATTGAAATGTAGCACTTTCTATATTATAGAGATGCAAGTATGTACTAAATATAGGTCACGATCTCATTGGTCTAATGGTAGCAATATGGGTTCGAACGAAGTTACAGAAGATGAGATCAAAAAATTACAGATGGAAAAAATAATAAGATTCTGCAAGCAAACCGGAAGGTTTGAAGGGGACACGGGGAGAGTTGGATGACCCAAAACCTCTACAAGGAGGAAATGGGGAAATGGGTGAAATGGTCAGCTGATAACGTGGACTGATCACCCGTCCTACCACAGGTGTCCCCGAAAGAAAATAATAAATAATAATAATTATGGTAGCAAGGCATGGCTGATAAACGGGTCGTGGGTTCAAACAAATTGGACTTCATCTGGAAATCTGGATATTTAATGTGTCGTGGGAATATCGAAATTTCTTCCGGGTTACGAACCACCGTCCACAGATGAAAAACTCGTCGAGTTTTACCGCGTTTCGATTCCAGATTTCCTAATATCCAAAACCTAATAGGTCGACGGTGCATCTTGTTTAGATGTTATATGGCTGAGGTATCTCATGCTTGTCTGTCCTATATACTAAAAAAACTGTATATATTAATATTATAAAGAGGTAGTTTTGTATTTGTATGCATGTGAGTGTTTTTGTTTATAATGCAAAAACTACCACTTCAACATAGAGAGTGACTGCAGCGAACATAACGGACTTTCCACATTTTTGAGTATTTGAAGTGCAATAAATATAACTATCAATGATATATGCCGCTGGTCAGTCATCTGTGCTGGAACATTCGCTGTACCATAAAGTTCGTACTCTGGAAATACTTAATATTTAAATAAAACACTTTAACGGTTTAAAACGGATATATTTTAGTTAAACTTGTTTGAAAATTATTTACCTGCTTGCTGCTTTAAACCGTTAGCGTTTTATTTAAATGTGTATTATTCGCGTAAACTACAGACCGTATTTAATACTTCATATGGCAAATCAATATTTGGCAAGCCTAGTAAATCATACCGGTTACAGCTTTTGTGTGACCTTCGAGGACAAAGGCGACGCGTGGCGGTGAGGCTGTGACGTCACAGATTGAAACAGTCCCATCGTGTGAAGCACAGCAAAGCTTTGAACGATCATTGTTGGCAAACTTTACTATGCTTACTTGCTCGGTATGCTGTAATGTAATGAGGTTCTTTTTCATTAAATACTGTCTATAGTTTACGCGAGTAGTACACATTTAAATAAAACACTTTAACGGTTTAAAACGCGATATATTAGTTAAACTTATTTGAAAATGATCTTTAACTTCGGCCCGACGTTTCGGATGCTTTGCAGCAGCCGTGGTCCGTGGTGTCTCCCCGTGACCACGGCTGCTGCAAAGCATCCGAAACGTCGGGCCGAAGTTAAAGATCATTTTCAAATAAGTTTAACTAATATATCGCGTTTTAAACCATTAAAGTGTTTCTTTTTCATTATCAAATATAAAAAAAGTTACATTTATACTACCCGATATTAGTCTTTAAGATATAAACACACAAACACAATCAAATTTTGCTCAAAAAATAAAATAGAGTAAATTTAAAAATATATAAGACAGAGCCCACGAAGTCATCTATAGTTTAGTCTGGTTTTATGTTTTTTTACTTTTTAATCGGCTAACTGTATTTCAACAAGATAACATTAATAAAAAAAACTCTTAAAAATACAAGACCAAGTTTGAGTAGCAGCCAAAGTACTCCACTTTATATAAGGACATAATTATTACTACTTGCATACTATAACTAACCTGGTCAAAAATGTGATGCACACCAGAAAAGGCATAATTTTCAGATATCGTCATGTCATTTTTCTTCTTTGAGTTAATCGTAATGCTTTCTTCAATTGCTAGGCTTGCCTGAAAAGTGCAAATTCATAATTATGATAATGTCTAACTTTAGAGGTGTTGAAAATATGTCAAGGAGCAAATGGCATGGACCATGGTCCCTATGTTTAAAAGCTTCAAGTGAATGTTTGTCTTAATTTGATATTTCAGAATAGACCCCAAAACCAAAGCTGTTGTGTAGCCCAAAACATAGGGTCTAGTCGAAAGTAAATGTACCTGTATATTCCACCTTTTCAGTCTCTTTTATTCAAAATGTACTATTATTGTTTACTACAAGTACTTAAGGTGAAACATGGTGCCAGGGATTGTGTTAAGCTTGAGAGGTCCTGGAATAGAATCCTGGGGGAATACATTTTTGGGCTACTTGCCTGGATTTAAACCTATCAGTGAAATGGACACAGAAATGTCTTTGCTCCATGCCCCAAAGATGTGAACTTTGGTTTTAACTTTAACATTCCATGCCTTGCTGATTATTTAAGAGTATCTGTGCTGTACTTACCTTACTACTAGACCTATGGCGTGATGATGATGAACTAATTGATATATTATCCTGTACACCATATCTACGCTGTAACAGCTGACTTCTGATGTTTATGTACTTTTTTATTGTCTCAATATCCTGTAAATTGAAAAAATTCAATTCAGATATCTTTGTTTATTGACCTGATCTTAAAATGTATTGAAATAAAATATTCTCACAGTGACTTTAACAATATAGAGATTTATGTTTAAAAACTTAAACAACACCAACTTCCCTAGTTTACAGTTCGGTAAAACGATTTTTAGTTTAATAGAGTGCCATGACAATTAAGCATATAGTAAAAGTATAGAAATTACCTTAAACTTTGAATTTTCTCTCAGAAGCTGGCTTCGTCTTCGAATATAAAGTGTTTCTAAAAACGAAAAATCAGAAGTTATAAAACTTGACTAAATTAATACACAAAAACAATAACATGATAAAGTAATAAAGAGAACTCACTAAAATTTGGATTTCCTGGTGCTCTGTATGCATTGAAGCGCGCATCCAGAGCAAATATCTGTTGTTGGAATGCAGCTGCCATTATTATAAATAGCAAATTATTTAAAACTGATAAAATTGCATTGTTTTTATTATTTACAAGCAATTTTACAAGTTGACAACATTTTCTCTTACATATGAAGATACATTTGACAATTGACACTAAGGATGTGGTAGTAATCGTTATTCGATTCTTAATATTCAAGATACAAAGTATTGTATATAAAATTAGAAAACTTTATATATATTTTTATGTAATTAAAAAATGAATTAAATAAATTTTAATATTTCTTAATCATCATATTATTGTCAGAATAGATAGGTTAGTATATTTTTTGGAATTCCCCAGTTCGTGACGGTAGTCGAGCAAATTAAGTTGTTTGGGCAGTAAATTATTAGGAGATGAAGAATAACAAGAGGCTTAAAACTATGCAATGAATACTTTCTACCTAAAAATAATATATACAAACATACCTACGTGGGAGTGGGGTGTATACTATGTAATTATTTTTACCCCATATTATAATTTTCTACAATACTCACCAAGGACAATGTCCCCAAGGCAATTTCCCAGTAATAAATAACCCCACATGACATCGTGTATTAATCAAACATCGCTATTAATCTTTCGTTGCATTTTACAATTCAAACAATTCGTTGTTACTCGTTTTGTTTTCCTCAATTTTCCTAGAATTTAATTCTATGTCCGGAAAGTTGTGCAATTGTGACATACGCCTATCATTAATCAGTAGTATTATCAACGATCTTAACTTTGTTGCACTAATAATTATGTGAAAGACATTTTCAGTTTTCTGGTATCTTATAAACTCTTTTTAATTATATATAATGAATTCTATATAGATTTTTCCTTTGCAAAAGCTTGAAGTAGCGTAGTAATAGATACGAGTGTATTTTATAACATAAGATATTATTTTTTACTTAAAGTTATGAGCACTTTGTAAAGTGAAAGGATAAGTTTGTCTCGTAAAAGTAATTCTGTCATGAAAAAAAAAGGTATTAATATAGATGTCTCGGTTATTATAATACTCTGATCCGATAGAGATTAAATTTAAAAAACAATAATAACGAACTGTAGGATCATTAAAGTTCACACTTAGCGTCCTCGACAGTGTAACGCGCGCGGCGCATGCGCAGAGGCCAACAATTTCCCGGAATACTTATTTCCGATTCCGAAATACTCCACTCAATGTTACCGAGAAGCGCGCGTTATTCTGGGACATCAGCTTATACCCGAAACACGTTGCTTTCTATGCGTCTCCGTTATAACAGGGCAAAGGAAATATAACGACTTGTAATATGCTGTTATAAAACGTCTTTACCACAATTTTTTTATCTAACGTGGATTTCACGGAATAGAAATATTTTGTAAAAGACTATAGATATACAAAACTTGTTGCATATATATTATTTCAGTTATAAATATATCAGTATTTTAGTTTTGGTTAGTAATATTTATAGCTAACTTTTATGTAGTTACGTAAATAAATACTAAAAAAATGACATTATCCATTTTCTATTAAAAAAAGATTTTGTCTTTGACATAAGGTGGTTTTAAGCTACACAATGTTTTTACTATGTTATTGAAGATGTCGCTGACCGCGATAATCGCGTTTTACGATGGATGATACCATGTTACCACCTCAAGACATTAGAATTAGGCTTGTCTTTGAAAAAGTTCTTTTAAAGTTTTTATATTTTTTGCAAAGGGCCTCGATGGGCTAGTGATACAATAGGCCAAATACATGTAATTTCAGCTAACAACATACAATAATAAAAAGAGCGAATAGGTTTCAAATATTTTATTGGACATACATAAAAACAGTTCAAATCCGTTCATACAACATCGTATGCATATAAAATAATAAATTCATTAAAACCGATAAAGTGGCTATATACAATAATGTTACATCTAAAATGGACTCGTACATTATACTATCGCCTACATTAGCAAAAGCTAATATATTTCGACCTTCGACATAGCTTAGCGATATTAGTAATGTTATTTTTTAATCCAGCATTAATATCTTCAATCAAAGGGGCTTCCTCGATTGACAATTATTTAACGATACACCAAATTGCATAATTCATTATTATTATTTTTATATATTCTTTAATAGTCATTTAAGTTATAATTTCCCGAGACTTACTTAAAAATAACATTACTACTGATCACAATTATGTTGGGTTTACAACGACAATTTTTGATTTGTGAATAAACATACAAAATACAGTTCTTCACCTTATTGCGCAACTAAATTAATTCACAAACATTGCATTTGTAGGGGATCGCCAATCTTTACACTTTCTCTCTAGTTCGGACAAACTCAAAAACTTCAAACTAAGTTTAGCTCGACATAGATAAGCTGGCTTTTTAAAAATTGTCTTCGCTTGTTTAGATTAGCTAACATAACATCCTCTAGGCACGTGTACGAAAAAGTAGCTCAACTAAGCTAAGCTAAACTCAGTTCAGTAGCATGACTTATACAAATAGCTTCATCACACGAATTATTACCAGTTTTTAATCAGTACATTCTATATACTTATAACGTCACAGTACTCAAATAAAAGTTTGATGACTTTAAAATGTATTCTAACACATGTAAATCAATCAGTCAAAACCTAACGTCTAATATTTAAGGCAAGGCATACGTTAAAATTAATTATATACTTAACATTAATAGTTTATACAGTAAATCATACAACTGATAGTATATACTATGTACAATAACGAATGCATCGAAGCCAAAGCGACTTATTCTAGTCAGATTTATAATAGGAATTAATCGACGTGCATAGTCGGTTTCGTACGTTAAAATTGAGTGTCGTTAAGACTGGAAACGTAATCTAAATCGTAGTCGTCGTATTTTTAACGTACATAACCGGCGGTGGTACAACCCCCCATCCTCTGGGAAACTGGCGTTTATGTGCAGTATCTAGGGATTTGGGTGACAAGTGCTTTTCCGTTAACCCGTGCGATTAACTACGACAAAAAATGCGTAAACATGATCTAGAAACAATGGCATTAAGCGAGAACCATCCTGTGTGAATTAATCCATTAAAATAGACAGTTACGATTGTTTGTTACGCGTTTTAAACGCGGCTAAGTGACAAATTTTACTTGTCAAAGACAGTTTATAATTTATCTAATTTTTATAAAGTCTCCATCTAATAGATAGCATTAAGATTCTACTACGATTATGGCAATAAACAACGCATTTGTTACTCTATATTCTAGCAATTCAGATACGTCAAACAAAACGTTAATATCTCATGAATAACACCGAATTCATTTCCAATAAAATTTTGCACATTAAAACTACGAATAACATCAAAACACGTAATGTAGTTTACCTATATTGAAACATAACAATCGCATGTTAACAATCTCGCGACTGACCGTTAATTATTCTTCCATAGGCCTAAGCTCTATCCATACAGCACCGCTTTGCTACAAATACAAGCTCTATTTTACCACGAAGGCGTCGCAATTTTGGATTGTTCTTTTAACACAAGACGAACGACAAGCTGGCAATTACAATTTTTTTATTAATAACATGTTTGTTGATTTTACAAAATATCTTGAAAATCAACTTAAACACTGCGAAAAAATATATTCATTTTGAGGTAATATAAGAAATTAATTTAAAGTATAGACCCTGAAATTATAATTAACACGGGACAGATTTTAATTATACAAGTCTTTGTGTAGGCGTTTTAGCTATCTATATTATATAGTAGCATCGAGCAAGCTACTAAATGGTTATATCGAAATGGACTATTATACTACAAGGACTAATATTTTAAGTCTGAAAGTATACGGTCAGACCTGAGGTCCTGCTTTACACAAAAAAATAGTCATTATTTCTATTGGATCCGTCCGTCCGTACCGTTTTATAGATGGCAACACTACGAGCCGTTGATCTATTTAGACGCAAATGAAAAAGTTTGCATGTATAATTTTTATAGTATTTTGAACAGACTCTCGTTCCTTAAAAAATCGTATATCAAAGGATAGTCCAACAGCGACGCCAGACCGAAAACGTGGGAAGTTAATCCACGTACATTAATCGGAATTAACTGTGAGCCAGGTCCGACTAGCACCCATCGGCATACAAATGTCTAAACAGCGATAAAACCTACTGCCACTAGTACCACCTCTTAAATAACACCGACAAATTTGACTCGAAAATTACTAAACATTTATAAATTAGCTTTACTAGAGATTATATTTTGTATTTTTTTTTAATGACACAAATAGTATCGTCTTTAATATATTCAACGACATTTTGTTTGATTTAATTTATCAAAATTGCCCCGTTTGGTTTCAATTCTAATCAAAACCCCTTAGTTAAGTTTTCGAGCACTCTTTTCAAAGTTTCAAATTATTATTATGTAAGCATAGACTTGGTCGAAAGCTAAGCTTGTTTTGACATCGTAAACAATAGATACTGTCTATAGTTTACGCGAGTAGTACACATTTAAATAAAACACTTTAACGGTTTAAAACGCGATATATTAGTTAAACTTATTTGAAAATGATTTTTAACTATTAGTGTTTTAAACCGTTAAAGTGTTTTATTTAATCGTATACAATAAATCAATATGTATATTATATAGAATGTATATTCTCGCATTTGGTCAATGTACTGCAAGCTGCGCAAGCAAGTCACATTTTTTAGTTTGAGTTCTAGAATCTGTTCTTAACAGCAATAAATTTAGAGTCACTTCACAGAGTAGCTTCTTAGAACTTCTAATATTTTAAATATAGTCAATCATCAATGTATCTAATTCACTTTAAATAAACAAAAAATGCTATAGAAAATCGTAGTATAACATCAGTTAAAAATTAAATACCCTATAAAATGACGCAATTTGAAAAGCGTGTTCACGATGTTTATAAATAATAGAGAATTTCGCAATCGTATTTTTCATGTGGTCCCGAAAAGAGGTTCAACCTGTGTTAGCCCAATGCCCTTAAATCCCAAACACGTGTGAGCATCCCTAAACTAATAAAAGCGCACATGTGATTGTATATAAAAAATAATATGTTGAATGACTTACACTTACACAAGAACATATTATTTTGTTAAAATCCCTATTCACTATTGCGTATATGGATACGCAATAGTGAATAGGGATTTTAGATTTAGATTTTAACAAACAAAAAAATATGTTATATGTTGTTGATTTTATTGAATCCTTTCGATTATATATTTTTTATTGAATCGATTTACAATAATCTTAAAATACCCTAAGTGATTGATTACGAAGAAAAAATCTACTTACACATCTTATACAGCCATGCAACGTGAATACAGAAAAAGCCGAACGACGTAAAACTTTTAGGGGATTCCCGGTAATTAAAAGAATACCCGGAGACTGCGATTCCAATACAAAGCTGTTTCGTCTTATCGCGCTGAGATTACGCGTTTTTATTCTCAATTCTGGAAATGCTAATCACCCGAACCAGTTGATAGTTCGCGTCGAAGGCTGTTTATGTTGCGGTGCACCTTCCACGAAACGAAAGCGATTCCACGCTAGTGTTGTGCACAGTGTGAATTATAACGCGTTTAGGCTTTGATATAACGCTTTCACAAAAATAACAGTTGAAAACCATAGATAGGGAGAATCGTCTTTACAAATTTGACCCAAAAACCTATCGTTTGCAATCTCTTTAAGACCTTTCGGTTCATTAATCGTTTAAACACCATTATTTGAATGAACGTAGCTATTCGAGCTGTTCGAGCGGTGTGTAGTTTATCATTCTTAAATAGTATCTAAACATATTTTTTTATTTATAACTTTAGTTAATAATATAATATTTCAAACATTAGATACAACGAATAGCTGTTACATCAAACAATCCAATAAAATTAAACGTGACAAGATTTAATACGAGTATTTCCCCAACGTTCCGTGTTTGACGGCACAACACTAGCGGTCGCCGGTCGCCCACTAGTGAGAAACACGATTATCGTAATAACCTCCAGGAACCGCGGGGGCCCTTTCCGATTTTAACGCATTTCTAGTAGTTTCAACGAGAACAACGATATAAGATGGGAGTAGTTTATAGACAAATGAAATCACAATAACATCGAATTACTTATTGCATTCGGAAGCTATACTTAATTTACTGGCAGGCACTTTGTAACTGAAGTCTACTTTTCGATGTTCGTTGCATTTTCACCTGTATTTTTTTTTACTAAAACACCATCTGTTGTTAGTTTGCATAGATCATTGTGTGTTCAAAATATAAAGGACTTTTGTTATTTCATGACTGTAACACGGTTATTGTGCCAAATGCAAATCAACTAAAATACGTATAGACAAATAGAATGATGATGTTTCTGGTAGTGCAGGAAATTTCATATTGACAGACAAGGTTGCTTGAAAGCATTTTGTCGTATAGTCGTTAGCAAGTGTTTCGGGGAACGGCGATATCGCCTCGTATTAATTAAAGGCGTTAATGACTAAAAAGTAAACATCGTTAATCGATTCAGTAACATTAGCCGCTTCCGAGAATCCACTCGAAAACACCTAAAACCGCAAGAACAGGTCTCCGCTGTTGATGGGTCAGTTGCGTAAGATACCGAAACGTTTCTCCGTACGAGGGGCTATAAAAGCAGTGATGCTGTAGACAATTCGGATACGGATAAACTGCTCTGACCTGCACGATAATTTCGGATAAATATACAGGAAATGCATACTTTGTATTGTGTATTGTGGTCTTTTTCGAGTAAATTTTTGGATATTTAATATATAATCTTTTAATTATGCTTAATTACTTTTCGTTGCATTACATTAGCATGTATCTGTATTTAATTGTAATCCGAAACATATTCGGTTTTCTCAGTTATCCGATTTCGGTTGTCTGCCAAACCCTATCGGCGACTTTGTGAATTTAGTTTGGCTGATTTACTTGATTAGAGGACGTTAGATGGTTCTTAGAAGCGACAATTACCAAATAAAACTGGTCCAATACGTGGGCAGATAAGTACTGCAGAGTTCGGTAAGAAGAAACAAATTGACACGGAAATGATACCAAAATATAGTGATATGCTTTTTAGATAATAATTATTAATATTGTTTCAGTCAGATCTTCCATAGTGAACTGATTGATCTCTATATGTACTTGTGTAACGCAAAACCTCCATAGCATCATTTCGAGGTAAATATTACTACAAAATATACCGTTTAATTTATCCAAAATTTACCACTCATTACCATTAATTGTTTGGTATTCGGTTTCTCGGTATCGAATTAATGATTCTATAGAGATTACTTTACCGTGCATCGTGAAATTGTTTTAATTATCTTGGTGTAAATTTTACTCCCAATCTTCGCCGCTAGACGACTGTTGCGGGGAGGACTGATCTCCGGGTTCTGGTATTATGCTGGCGAGGGTGTGGAGCACTGTACCACCGGAGGTCGCCGGGCGTTCAGTGCCCGAAATTCCTCGTCGCCGCATTGAAAGCTTTGCGTGAAGATCCGCCATCAGGTCGCCACCGATAGCTGGCTTGGAGACCTGCCAAAGAAAATCTTATAAATATGCAATACTCTCTTAGAAATTAGGGGGAGATAAATGATATAATGCAACATGAGTATGACAATGTATTTATTACAACTTAATTAAGAACATTTTAAGATAAGGCCAATCTTTATGTATACCAAACACTGACTATGGCTCTAGGAATACACATTTCATAAGAAAATCACTAAGTATCAACTATCAAGCCACTTCAGAACTTTCAAGCGATAGTTTCCGTCAAGTGGTTTTTGGAACTCATGGTAAGCGCACTCATTTTCTAAGAAGATAATGTTACTTTTACAACAAAAGTTAACAGTTTAAGAGGACTTCATACATCGATTATTGTTTGAGTCTTAATAGATGTCCTACTGATACAATTCAACATAATTTATAAGCTACAGGTACGAAGAGTGGGTTATATATTCACTGAACACAAAAAGTTACATTATGAAACACATCAGGGCCGAAAAGAGTACTTTATTTCAAAAATATAAAATTCGGTATTCCAATTAAGTTTGCAGTGTATTTCGGGTCTTCGCTACGATTTTCCGGGACCATTTATTGAATATGTCAAAAATAATTAAACGTGAGGCGTTTACGCTTTTATTGAAAATGACAATCTATCCATACTCTGCTCTGAACTACTTTAAACAATTACAATATGCTGTCAATTTAAGTTAAGAAATATAGAGATACACGGGGCTTTTAGAAAATATATTTATAACGTCACAGGACAGATGTTTTATTTGGTTTATACGATTTCAATTTTATATTTTTTTTATTATTTCATACATATTTTGAATTGTCTTTTCAAGGTGATCTTCGGATTTTTATGGTATACTGAAACTCATAAAAAAATTTCCTACCGATGATTGTCGCCTTAAGGTTAACTAAACTAACACGACATACAAGATTAAATAAATAAATACGCCATACGTAAATGAGTGTACATTTCCATGAATCTCAAATTAAAACAATAATTGTTTAGAAAACAATGCGCGTGTTTGATAACAGATATCGTATGTTCCGCTATTTCTGGTTATTGATTGTTATTTTTACGATTTCTACAAATATAAAGTTATCGCCATGCCATTGACCTCATATCCTCGTGGTGGAGAGGGTGGGCGCTGAAGATCTTTCCAGAATAATAGCGCATCTGTTACAGTAACATAGTTCTTAGACTAATTACAGAGTAGGCTACAATTAACTTGATAGCTTATAGCACAAAGAGAGCTAATCTAAACTTATGTTATAAAGCTAGCGCGTTTGTTTGGTTGAACGCGCTAATCTCAGGGACTACTGGTTCGAATTGCAAAATTATTCTTGTTCTGGCTAGATCGTCAGCTTTCCGTGCTGTTGCTCTACCAATTGAGCTACCGAGTCCTACACCTCATCGTCGAATTTTTTCAACTTATCGATACATGCACCTCTCGCGCAGTGTAATTTCAACCTTAACATTTGCACCAGCACGGAAAGCTGACGATGCCGGTTCAAGTTCTGCCCGAGTCGAAAATTTTTTCAATTTATTTTCGATTTTTAAATTATATAGTGCCTTCATATGCAATAACATGTGAAAAATATTAATGTTTTCAAAACTTGGATTGTGACTGGAAATATTATTAGCTTTTCAAGCGTACCTACGTTTACCTACCTTTAATATACTCGTATATTTGTGGCTCTGTTAATTACATATATGAAGATAGATTGTAAATGTGTCACTATTAGCATTGTATTCAGGGATAGAAAGCTTTCTGTCAGTATATTTAAGCTTTTACGGTAGTAATTGTGTAACGATGACGAACAATAAACTAGATTTTACTTATTTTATATATTTAAATTTATAGTTAAATTTGTATGAAGGAATGAAAAGCTTTTTTGCAATTTTTTTATTTTATTTTAAGGGTAAAATCATGCATTGTGCGATTGTGGCCGGAATTGGGCAAAGTGACAAAACGCCTTTGCAGAAGCGTCAATCGCGTCGCCATTGTCGCGATATCCAATCTGCCAGCACTGCCGGCATTACAATTGACATCGCCTGATGGCCATCTGGCCGCAACCGGATGTCGCTCAATTGAATAATCTAACCAACATTCGGGTGTGAGGGGTGTTGGTCCTCCACTTTATATAAATGGAGCTGGAGATTGCACGAGCCACCGAGAACCTGATATAGATTAATGGAAAACTACTCCAACAGAGCAGAGGGTGATTGAGTGGCAATTTTCGACTAAAGTTGAGAGACATTTAATATAGATGCTTCGAAAAACATAAAACACAGAAAACTTTAAACAATGTATTTTAATTAAAAATAATATATATCCATAATGCGCTTGCGCTTGATGTGCCGTTAAAAATAATGGTATTTTACAGATTACTGTGTCCATTGTACAGATTACTTTTATTACAATCCGTTTTTTTGACACAGGAGGACAGACACACATGAAATTCACTTACGATGTGCTATAGATCTATTTTGGCCAATTTACTGTAAGCGATTACAAACACCGTGAAGTCATATTATCTGGTAATTCATTCAGTAGCATTACAATGGAAGAAATGTTTCCCATCTTCTATTAGTAATATAAGCTTCAGACAAGTTATATATTAGAACTATACTATTTACGATGTGTTTCTGCTAGCGGAAATTAGATACGAATAAATGGTGTATGTAAAAACTAATTGATAGTGTCACAATCAAGAAACATAAGCTTTTTAAATGCTACCCGATTCATTAGTGTTAGTATTGTCTACAAAATAAAGTTTGAAAGCCGGCCGATTTCAATTCAAAAGAAACGTATAGTATTTTAACATTCCATCTGATACCCGGACATTTATTCGTCATTCGAGAGAAAGCCATAAACGTAAAAATGTGTCCCCAAATAAAGACAAACATATCGGGGGACACGACAAAAAATTACGGCAGACATCGCATTCTGCGTAGTGCGAAATTAGAATTCTTAAGACCTTAACGACCATGCGCGAGGCGATGCGCGGGCGTACGCTCGAATTTCGGTAATAATAAACTAATTATCCCCTTTCTGTTATTAGGAATACGTCAAAATCTCGAAATGAACTTAGGTATGCACAGGGGAGATTCTTACATTATTACATAATGCCTATGATTTAAAAGTAAAGCCTTCAAAGTAACAAGCTTTATTAAAATTGAAAAATCTATTTGGATACAATACGGCCGGCGTAACTTGGCAAGCCTGATCTAAGCGCGAAACGCTGCGCAGAAACGTTCTTTAGGATTTTAACGGTGGTAAGAGCGAGGGGCGCGGGACGAAGATCTAGGCTAGTGATTGACAATTGGCAATGTCAACACAATCGACCGCTTATTATAATATATATTATATAGTAACATACAAACAAACAAACAAGCTTTATATATAAGTAAGTATAGATATAGATATTAATTATTTCTCGCTGAAAACGTTTGTCGACAATCTATGACTACTCTCGCTTTTGTTTTCCATTTCTCGGTACCGGGCAAACGCGATTCGAGTGGCACAAAGGAGTACTAGAGAAATGCGACGCATTTATTCGGAAATTGTAAAGAACGACGTTTGCATGGGCCGCGCGACATCTCGGGGCCGTGTCGAATGACCATTGTTCCATACAATACCCCTTGCACGCTTATTACCAGCTCGCTAAGTGAAGTAAAAAGAAATGCGAGCAAAATGTGAGGTTTAGACCGCCAGGGCGAATTATATCGCTCGCAGAAGGCTTCCATTGACGAAAAAAACGACGAAAAGACGCGTCGCCATGACAACCGATAATCGTTTGATTTTTTAAAAGTTTAAATGTGGAATTAGTTGTATAATTTGCTTCAGCCGTATAGAGAGAATACTAGCTATTTAAATAAAACACTTAACGGTTTAAAACATTTGTATTAGTTAAATTTATTTGGAAATTATGTTAACCACGGCCGTAGTTAAAAAAAATAAAATAATTTTAGGTACTACTAGCGTAAACTGACCGTATTTACCAGTATACCAGTTATGTGGACAAAATCTTAAATTAAAAATCACCCTTTTTATTTTAAAGTATTGCTTTTTTGTATTCATTGTTAATGACAAACTCTACACACGCTAGATATGAGAAAAATCTAATCATTTGTGAAGCATGACCCACGACTCCAGTAAGAAGATAACATTGGCAACAATAACGAATAGATAAGAATTCTATTAACTCGAACAACTGACGCTTGTGATTCAGCGAATGTATGAAAAACAATGTAATGTTTTAAACACGTTTCCAGAAGAAGCCACACGAAGATATACTGTAGAGGATCAATTTCAAATAATGCTCTATTTTTTAGGGGTGAAAGTCGAAAACAGCTTTTGAGGAAAAATTTAATTTGTAATTCATTGATTACGATTGCTTTAAACTAACAATATTCATAACAAAGATAAATATAATAATAATAATTACGGGGCTCGTGCCTTCTGGTTTGTACGTGTAGTAGACACAAATTTATGTCCAAGTTATTTACAGGACTACCTTCAGTCAGTATAAGCATTCTGTTTTTTTTTTGCCACAACGGGAAAAGAACGAACGGTAGTGTTTTGGCAAATTTGTTCAATCTAAAGTAGATTTTTAATTATTTCGGTACCACCGACTATGGCCAAGTCAACATTTTAACGAAGTTCATATTAAATTCAACACAAATTCCAAATTGCACGTGTTCACGAAATGTAAACTTGAAATTAAACTTCGGTCCTGTGAAAACAGTTGCTAGAGACGCAGGGTTAAGAAAATAACGAAGCAACACCGCGCTTTAATTATTTTAAAGTTTCCTTTATTTCTGGCTGTTAAAGTTGAAATAACAGAGCGATGCTTCGGGTGATATTTTAGCAGTCCTTTTCGTTTTGTAAAAAAAGGAAAGTAGAAGTAATAAATTATTCATAAACCATCTTTATATCTATATTAATATTATAAAGAGAAGGTTTATTTATTTTACTGACTTAGCCCTTTCATTTGATACCCATATTGAGGGGATTAAGGAAAAATATATAATCCGACCTTTTTTATCGGCAGCCATCTTGGATTTATAATGTATTGATTTTAGTATATTGTATATCATCTAAATTAAATGTGTGTACCAAATTTCAGATCAATCAATAATTTTGACCCAAATAAATAAATTGTTTACGGGTCGACCTAAATAAAACCGTTTAAAAAAGTACTATTATTTAACGTGGCTATCAATATTGACAGTAGTTTTATTCCATTCCATATAATAATTCCGAATAAAAACAAAGATATTCTAACAAAGTTGATCTGAATGCATGTGAAAAAGGCAAAAGTGAGTTATTTCAAACCCGATCGTAAAAAATAGCCCATTTGTATAATAATAACCTATTTAAATTGAAAGAAAATATGACACGCGCGGGAATTGAACAGACATACAGAGCGTTCCGTGCTGCTCTAACCAATGAAGCTACCGTATACGCCATCTTGGAATTTCTTCAACCCGTTGATACATGCACCTTTCGCGCAATATAATTTTAGCCTTAATATTCACGTATTCAAGTTCTATGTCTTGTGCTTTGCATCTTCAGAAAACATTGAACATGAAATTGCAGGGTTCAACGTTTGTAAACTACAATAACTTCATTTTTTAAATTTCGATAAGACCAAAGTATTAAAATTTTAAATTCCCTCTATTGTAAAATTTCTACGTTTCTACGCTTTTTTGTAAGCTAGAGGAGAACAAACAAGCTTGAAGTTCACTTGATGGGAGGTGAAACACCCCAGCCATATAACGTCCACACAAGATGTGCGGTCGACCTATTTTGGCTTCGGATATTCGGAAAACCGCTCGATCCAACTGTTGATAATCACTGCTATCCTTCCCACTTGTGGGACGAGCAAACAACGACACTGCATATATCTTGCTCAATGTTGAGAGGTTTTTGCAATCGGCGAAGGGCAAGTCATGGTTGTCCCGCGACAAAACATCGAAGGCACTCGCGGAATCCACCGGCACATTATCGACCGGTTTGCGAAGAATCGATAACGACACGACTACGCTGCGTCCGTTCAAATGTTTCTCGTATAGTGACTGTGACATTCGTTCGCAGAGTTGGTATTAGACGTTTTAATACTACGATGCTTACCTGCTTATATATAAGTAAAGTTAGTTATTAATGTATTATCAAAGATATAACTAACTTTAACTAACTATAACCGAAACTCCGCTGGGCTGGCCATTTGGAGAGAATGGGAGATGATCGGAATGTCAAGAAAGCGTATATCGTAACCCGTGACGTGTCAGTCATCCTAGATATGGCTGGAAGGACGCCGTGGAGAGGGACCTGCGCGAGCTCGGTGTGGCCGAATGGCGAACAGCCGCTCACGATCGGCAAAAATGGCGCTCTTTAGTTTCGGAGGACGAGACTCACTTTGGGTCGCTACGCCAGCGGAGTAAGTAAGTATAATTTTAAATGTAAAATACCTAAATTGTGAGTAAATATTCCATCGTCTGACAATTGACCTAGCCTAAAAAACAGACCCCGTGACCATAGTTGTCAAAGCGTCTGAAACCACATAGTTCGTTATTTAGACCATCAAAGTGTTTTTAAGACCTAGCGTGAAAAAATCATTACCCTTCCTTTTCACATCGCCATGACATCGTTAGAATAAAAAACGAATCCTATTCCGGGACACCGCACACACCTGAACTGACCTAAAAATGCAATACGAATCTAAAAACTACCCGTGAATAATACGACGGCAACGCATCAATCTTCGATATTGTATTTCATTTCATTATTTATACGTCATGTCTCTCTGTAGACATTTAAAACATCAAAAAACAAATAATTGCTAACGGGCGTAAAGTATCACTCCTGGAGAGTGTCCCCCTCTTTTATACCCAGCCCACCGTGTTCTTTCAACAATATTATAAGAAGGAAAAATGTAAGCAATTTGGTAATAAACCTTGGTATAAAATAAATATTGCTTTCATCGATTACGGTTTCATTTGCTTATATTATAGTGTTAAACGCGAAAGCTTGTATTTCAGACAAATCAGATTTTCACTATTGGGATAACAAGACCTTTCATTGTAGTTACGATTTATTGTTTTAAATCACGCCGATAGTAAATTGGAAATATTATTTACACATACTTAGTTTTTTGTATTTTGTTTTAATCCGCGAATTCTTTCTGGCAGTTTGAACGCTTTGTTATATAAGGGTCTCAGCACACATATAGGATCGGAAAGGGATCGTAACCGTAACGCCTTTCGCCTCGCTGTCAACCAGGCGTCAACCTACCGTACGCACGTAACGAAAGCGTATCAGCAGCGCCTGTACGTCAACTCGGCTACGGCTAGGCGACACCGCGCTTACGCCTCGTCGCCCGAAAGATATTGGGTACACAATATGAATAAAGCAAGGAGGACGCAAGCGCGGGGACGGAGAGACGTAAGCGCGGGGACGATGAGCCGTAAGCGCGGGGACGATGAGCCGTAAGCGCGGGGACGATGAGCCGTAAGCGCGGGAATTGCAAGTTCCGAGGCGAGGCGATTACGTTACGATTCCGATTAGTGTGCGTTGCAGTAGGGAGTTTAATACAAACCATTCTGAACGGCTCGAGGCGTTACGGTTACGATCCCTTTCCGATCCCATATGTGTGCTGAGACCTTAATGCGTTACGGCGACGGTGTCTGGTTTTGAATTTGATATATGTCTGAGTGTTTCTCTTTAATACGATATATTTATTTAGAACGCATTGTCATTTTAATTAATTTAATATTTAACATTAGTACAGGCGTTAACTTACTGCGTAGTCCCGCTTATTAGTTCCTGTGTTATCGCGGTAGGAAATACTATTGCTTCCCTTCAAGTTAGCTTAGTTTTATTAAAGTAGCCAATACGTAGTAGCATTTTGTGGTTTTTGGGCTGTAAAAATCCAAAGTTGTAAAGCGTTATTAATTTGTTTTGCGCATTAATGATCACGCAGCGAGCTGCCCGCCGTACAGTCAGCAGACACTCGAATCAATTTGTGCGCTTGCACGTGGAACCCCACAAACAATGATACGATTATCATTATTACGTTATCGCCTTCACATAATACCGTGTTCTCGGAAGCGGAGTAGCCTCCTAGCACAGTAATAATTATCGCTTCGACGAAACACGTCCTGATCGTAATAATTATATGAATGGTGGTATCGGGTTCTTTAAGAGATCAAGCACTTTTTACCGAGTCACCGCCCAACAGGCGCCGTCAGACAAAAAATGTGGACGCAGGTTTATTCTGGACGCCTCAATAGATCGGTTACGGGTGTAATTGTGAAACGTGCTGTTAAATCATTGTTGCTTTCGATTGCTTTAACCCGACCGCCGTGATCTCTTTTTAAGGTCATTGTAACATCGTTAGCTTGTAAACCATGCTCACTACTTTGCATTGCTCTATCTTTATTTTCGTAAAGATCAGTTCTGTTACTGTGTCTAGCCAGTACGTTATTATTTATTTATTAAAAACCAATCACACATCTTTACAGAATATGAATTCTAACATGATAGAGAGTAACAATTAAAATTTTAACATATCTTTTAGATCATATACGTTCTTGTCCTAATGACATCGCTCACCGTGCACTTAAAAATGTCTATTTTGCAATTTACACTGTTGAGAATGTGAAATGCTCGCATAATTGGGGATTATGAAGAACCTCCAATATATAAATATAATGCGACAGAGTTTAAAGTTAAAATCTAATAGTCCTAGCATCGTCGGTACTACTCATAAGTGTGAAGATAAGATAATCACGTTTCCAATGTCCAATAAACCGTGACGCGTGGGACATATCAACACTGGATTAAAACGTCACAGTGACGTAATTCGAAAAAGGTTTCCTACGATAATTCTATTTACGCTCCGTTCGCGGATCGATAAAACTAATAGACAAAAGGAAGACGTAGTTAATGATCCGATAACATCTTTTCCGTCGCTACGCCAGCGGTGAAGCGCCAGGAGAATGTCTTCCGAGAACTGTCGGTTTCCGTAGTAATTTCAAAACAAGCAACTACTAGAAAACAAACAACCAGCTCCGACGAGAACATTACGGGTGAATGCCTCGTAATTCGCAATGCGCCCGATACTATTCAATATTCAATGATGCAACTCATAATTGGTCATCCGCCCAGAAAACGAATACAACGGGAAGAGATTTTTCATAACAAGTAAACAAAACAAACATTTTTTTTTATTGATAGAAGTGGACAGACATTGCATGAAGGTTCAATTGATGGAAGGTGAAATACCATTTACACTAGATGCGCTTTGGATATTTGGATCTAATCTTTGGATATGATATTATTTGACTGCCCAACAGAATACTACAAATATAACATTCAATGTGAAGAGATTACAAAAAAAATGTAGCGAGAAACAACGGCCTTATCGCTAAAAAGCGATTCTTTCCAGGCAACCTTGAGGATGAAGATTGACAAATTATATATGTGTCTAAAAATCCGAACGTTAAATGGTTGGTAGGAATATCGAAATTTTGACCGAAAATAAATCCGCGTTTTTACTCTGTGAATTTCCGAATGTAGGTCGGCGGGAAAAAATAAAAAGACACCGTGCAGTTTATATGCACAGGTAAAGTTTCCGGTTTAACTAAATGAAATAAATTATATTTCTTTTTAATTTGAATCTGGACTCACCTTATCTGTTGTTGGAGAAGCAGCCGTCTTTAACTTCGCCCGGCCCACTCCACCGGCTTGCCGAATAGCCGCCATGAGACTTGCGTGAGCGTCACCCCCTGGAGACGGCGTGCTTGGAAGGGTTTCCCTGTGTAGCAAAAGAAAAACCTCGTAAATAACACGATAAAGTCATCTATAGTTTGACTGTAACCAGACATAAATACTAAAACACAATATTTCGTTTAATATGTTAGAAATTTTCCTACACATTGTCTGTAGTTTAAGTGAAAAGTACACATTGAAATAAAACACCATTAACGGTTTAAAACGCTAAATATACCACTTAATTGTCTACGACAGTAGGTACACGTCTAATTTTTAAGATAGCATAACTAAAGCAAGAATGTATAAAAATGCGGTTTACAGAAGCAAATGTTGGTGCCCAAAATAACTAATGCAGCGGGCGAAGTCGCGGGCTCAGCTAGTTATGTAATAGAACGTTAATTTCGTAGTGCTTCAACAAAATGTCATGGCAGTATTTAGCGAGCCCGCATCGTCATTAGCTAATAATTTAGCGTACAATGGACATATTAACATGGTTCCACGCGGCCTTGGCTCCGTTTCTTGAATATTGATCGCAAACTTTGCATAAAATAACATTAGTGTACACATCAACCGGCACCAACCTACCGACTTACGAATTATTATCATACATACGAAATTGAAAAATATGTCTAAAATGTTGTTGCAAGCTTTGAAAGAAAACGGTTTAACGGCTTAAAACGCGAATTTATACATATTTTATTTTCACGCACGTGGACACGGATTACGCCGTGACCACGGCTGCTGCAAAGCATCCGAAACGTCTGGCCGAAGTTAAAAATCATTTTTAAAAAAGTTAAACTAATATATCGCGTTTAAAAGTGTTTTATTTAAATGTGTACTACTCGCGTAAACTATAGACAGTATTCACTCTATCTATCTAAAGAAAACACTTCAAAATCCGTTGCGAACTTTTAAAGATTTAAGCGTACATCGGGACAGAAAAACCGACTTTGTTTTTATACTATGTAGTGAGTAGCGTTGTCTTATTTACACATCAAAGTTTAGACACGCGAAGCGTCAAATTCTATAGACAGAATTCAGTCTACAGCCCTGTATTTCGCTATATCGATCAGTCTCCGACCGCCAATTAGAAACAAGTCCGCGACTATGTTTTATAGTCAAGTTGGTCACGTAGGAGAATAAATCGAACCACCGTTACACTCGCGACGGTCCTACTGACTTATTGCCTATAAACTCGTTGAGAAATAATGTCGTAAATATCTTCTACAATTGCAGCCACGGTTAAACTGAGTATGTTAAGAAATATCCTTGGTTTTTTTTTTTACAACAGAAAGAAAGAAAATTTTGTTTTTTGCCACAAAATGGAGAAATACAACGGAATACCTAAATCTAAATTCCTAAGCTAAAATTTTTGTGGCACGTCGAAGTGCAGACTCAGCTGAATGCTGCACGGCTGTTTTTCAGTCTGCAGAAGTGGAGAACAAACATGGCGATCTATATATACTACCCAAGATGTGCTATCGACCTATTATAGCTAACATACATAAATCTACAGTTAAGACTGTAAGTTTATGTATGTTAAATGCAATTACGGGTTTAACCTGTGGTGGTGTAATGCAACTTCTATATTCCTAGCGAACCTTCTATTCGAAGATTCTTCAGGCGAAATATGACACAAAAATAATAGAAATTGTATTCACCTTTAGGTATTAACGATGTATCCATCTAAGAACCCGTCGAAATTACATTATTTCCAGTTGTAATATCAAAAGGTAATCATCATTTTGACAATAATCCGTTGCTTTTAAGGCATACTAGGCTTTACTAGGAGCCTTTTATTCAACCAAAATAAAATGGGAATCTTTCGGTTAGGGATTATCTTTATTACCTATACGTTTTTTAATAAAACACTAGTGACGATTTTATACATGAAAATTTTAATACGTTAGCAGTAACGTTTGTTGTTGCAAAGGAACTGTTACGTGTTTTATTTAAATTATGTTTACTAACTGCGTTACGTCAGCTAAATCCTTCGGCACCGTATGGGACAATAATAAATAGGAAAACAACAAAGCCATCTTCGCCCACACGCCTCCGAAGATGAACTCATAAATAACACTGATCACAATGCAAGCATCGAGGCTAACAAGAATATTTTAGTCGACGAGTCTGAAACGCGTCTAAGGATCTAAAATACCCCGTGGCATCTCGCCAATTGCGAACAGCGCTGAGCGTATAGGCGCCTCAATTACGAGAAGTAGAATTGATTTGCCAAAGTAATGGCCCTATTTTAATCTTAACGCCCGTTACTTGGAACGGCTAGATTCAAATGCCACGTGAATATGTGATAATTGACAGCTTGACAGGACACTGAACACCTAGTATGAGTTAATCGACGCCGCGAGACAAACATGTCGAGATCTCTCCACAGTTTCTCTTCGTCACACGATTGTTATGTAGGATTTGTATGAAAGCAATTAATAATATTTGGAACAAAGTAGTGTCAAACGAATGATCTAAAATTTAGGTATTGGAATCTGATGGAAAGAGAGACTACATCCAGATCCCAAGAGAATCTAGTAAAGAACCACTTTGATACGGTTAGGAAAATTTTATTCCGTAACTCAAAAAGTGCCGAATTACTAATTTATAACGTACTCAGTAACGATAACCTAACGTGAATAAGAGACATTGACAGTGAAGTCTAAAATAGAAAAGCTCATGGCGTGCAACTCTCTAGCCGACACGGTTACTTCCTGGAAAGATCAAGTGACGGCATAGCAGACGAAACAGAAATAGAACTTCGTGGGAAAAACTAGTGGCTCTTACATTTCCTTCCTCAGCGAATTGGTTTAAAATAGATCGTTCACCTCGATTCGATGGAATTAGACGTCCTTTGCTCGGCACTTACCCGCTGACGATAATAAACGAAAAACCAAACGTTGCAATGTCGTCTTGGGCATATTTCAGTAAGGGAAAGCAATAACTTTTGTATATAATATTTTTATATATACCAACTATATTGTTTTTAATTAGTCAATGTATTTATGTCATCATACAACTTTTTAAAAATTTATCTGATAAAGTCCGACCTTGATTACACCTGAAATATTGCAATATGTAATTTGAGCATAAACATTTGCAATTGACAAGCTACACTTGAGCTACGAAAGTTAAAAAAAAAACTAGTATAGTTTTTTTATAGTATATATTTTGTCCAGAGACAAACACAAACAATACGGAACAAGCCGTTAATCAATGGGTAGAAGTAAGAACCAGGATCTTCTAGCAAGGTTAACTAGAAACCAAGTTCTTTAGAATATATAACTAAAACAGACTCACTCCATAACACTCATTCAATGGTAACCCCTGGGGGTTCCTATTGAATCGGAGTATCTCAGTTGCCAAGCAATTACCGGCAGTTGCTTGGCAACGGAGAAGCAATTTAATCTACAATGAATGACAAAATCTTTTCAAATCACGTAATCAATTTGCAGTTACCATGAATCGCAATTCGATTGGTATAAGTGTCTATGATTTGTATTTAGACAGTTTAATTATTGAATCGATTTGTTTGTTTGTATTCGTGACATAATTGTATAGTAGAAGTATTTTAATAGTAAGCTACCTCCTAATAGTTACTTAACTTTATACCTGTAAATTATTGTATATATAAACTTATTTCATAACCTAGTCACTATTAAATAAATATGTGATTTAAAAAATCAATCAAATTAATAAAAGTTATATTAAAGTCCGTAAGTAAAGTCCGCTCTTCAATTGACCACAAAATAACAGTGTTTGATCTGTTATTTGAAGAAATTGTATTCATCACACATCTTCTGTGTGTTAATTAACTTTCATTGTTTAACAGGTTTTAAATATCATAAATTTCATAATAAGTTTAGAAAATTCATGATCAGAAAGTTCAGAGTATTTGCAAAACAAGATTGTTAAAGTAAACGTATTACAAATAGCAGACTGGTATTTTCGTAGTACAAGTGGAATTATCGATAAAATGACGTCACCGCGATATTTCTCACTCGCATCCTAGACACGTCACGAGCGCGCACCGGGCTTCTATGAAGCGGTTCATTAGTCGTGCTCGCCACTAATTGTGTCTCGACTATAATTACTGAGCGCGAAGTGAACATGCATAAACAGATTATTCACGGTAAATCAAATCGATTCTATCACAAGACTGGAGCGATGACATTAATTTGTATAATCTGTGTAGAGCACATTTGATTAAGTCTCCGTCCCGTCGGAAGGTAGGTAGGGACATCATTCCCAACTTAGCTGAGCGGTTTCGTTATAAATGGCAACTGTATTATCGTTTGTGTTTGTGTTTAACTTTTTATCATTTATGTGTAATTTTAAATAAGTTTAAATGTACTTTTCGTTGCTCCTAAATAATTAAAAATCCTTCAAATATTTTATAAAAACAGTATATAAGTAACATAATAATGTGTACGGTATGTCATAATACGTTTAATAAAAGCAAATAATTCAATTCATAATGTTTTTAAGAGAAGTCTCGATCGAAGATCGTAAAAAAAATAGATGCTCTCTGTCTGTGCTTACTTCTACTCAAACAGTTATGTGTCCCAAAGATCCTACCAACCAAAAGAAACAAAGGTATAAAATTCAGCTTGAGCGCCCGTTTTCCCATGTGGCTGTTATCTGCTTAAGCTTTACTGGAATAGTGGAACAAACTAACGTCACCGGTTGCTTTCAAAGGGGAATTATAAAGTAAAGAGGAGTTTATCAATTCAGCAAACTTCAAACACGACGATCTCTGAGCTTTTGAGGCGAATATCTCGAAATGTCAGTTCGGTGGAGTGTCGGTTCCAATATTGAATTTCTCCCTGGTATGGACCCGAGGGTAGGGTGGTTAGTAATCGAAATATCTTGTGCATGCATGCATGAAAATCAGTTACAAATAGAATTACGAGAATACCCTTATTTAACGTAATAGTAATTATTATAAACAAACTGCCTCAGAAATGAATCGATTTTTTTCGCTTTGCTTCGCCCACGCTTAGCCAAGTAACATAATAAAATCCGCTCTCCTTATGTGTG